TTGTTACCCTATCTAACAGTGCAGAAGAAGTTTTATCAGCGATTGCTTTCTGAGCACTTCGGTCACTATCTTCTCGAGCAGCTAAATAAGCTTTCCTAGCTTCTTCCTCATCATCTGTACCACCTTTCTCTACCATGCTGTTGTATAGATCTACCTGTAACATAATAAGGAATATAAACTTTACTCAGAAGAAAGTAAAGATAACTATTTAGAAGGCAATACAAAAGCAGATTTTTTTTACCTCCTTTTTAACTAGTTTGAGGAACTCTTCACGCTCCATGCTAACAGACTGGGATCCAAGTTAAAAGAGACTAAACATTAACGTTTTTCATTACCTCTGATAGTAAAATAAATGAGAGTGTGGTAAAGTCTCCCATACAGATGCGGAAGCTAAAACTGCTAATGCACGGCTGAGCTCACAGAGCTGCTCATGTTTCTCAAGAGTTTTTGCTATCGCTTGTTCATTAGCATCTTTAGCTGTAGAAGCCATCATCTCATCCAAAGCTACATCTTTTTGGCTTGAAGCAGACTCTTTCATCTTTGCCATTTCCTCCTCTTCTTCATCCTCTTCTTCCTACATTCAATTGAATCCCAACGTAAGCAAGAAAAGAGTTTCCAGATAATAATATCTCAGCAAGTTCACACATGCAAGAAAAGAACTTCCAAGGCTATACGGAAAAGAGAAACATAGTTCCTCCCATGCTTTTACTTGGTGGAAAAGAAAAAAAGGAAGACCTTGATTAATTCTTCTTGCATTTCTAAGTATTCTAACTTCCTCTTCCTTTCTGATACAGAATCTTCTGATGACAGAGCTGTGACCCCAACTGTGTCCAAAACCTCATCTGGCAGAGAAGATAGAGTAGCTTGAACAGCTTCTTCCGGCTTGAGTTTTCCAGACATCGAGAAAGATCTGAAAGACAATTGCGGGAATGTCAATTTTTAATTTTGTCGTATAGTATATATGTCTATTGAGTTGCAGGACAAGCTTTACCTAGAGAGAATTAAGAGAGATGACGGAACTGAATGGTTAAGGGACAAATCCAGCCAGTCAGTTAACTGCAAAAAGTGATTTGCAGATCAGAAATCACCAACTTCTAAAAAAACACATGTACCAAACACAAGATCGTTCTTCTTGTTCACAAACAGTATCATCTGTTATACCACCACCAGAAAAGCTAGCATGCTCAATAATATTTATAAACGAGCAATAACCTGCTGTCTCATTTCTTCAACTGAACCTAATTGAAGCATTCCTCTGTATCTGCAAGCTTGGCGAAGTTCAGATTCTGAAAGAGACTCCACACCCTCAGCTTTGATCAACTTATCATCCTTTTTAATCCTGCAGAGTCCAAGGAATGGCATTTCCCAATGGTTAATGTAGAAATGAGAAAATAAATTTAGATGAGTGGATATATATTGAATCCGACGTCTTGTAGAGTATATCGAAGCCCACAGACGTCTTACGATGTCACCAAAACAGAGAAACTGTTCTTGTAGGACTCATTGTCCGACACTTGAGATAAGAAAAATGGCACTATAAGCAGCGTGTTGAACTTACTCCTGTAATCTTTTCCGAAGCATATAACGTAAGTATGCATCCGTTCCGAATGGGCTAATACCCATGTATTTGCACATATTTACCAATCGAGGCCTGCAGTTGAGAAGATCATATATTAACAAAACAAGCCAGGAGAGTAGTATCGCAATACATAAAATTTTGACTAATGTGAAACCTGTTAATGTTATCCAATGTAAGCTCATCATTGAATAGTTTTGCAAAGCCCAAAATTTCATCATTTGAAACACCAACTCCTCTTCTGACCTATACAATTGATTAACGAAGGTATCAGTCCACCTTGAAAACAGGAGGAACTCAACTCTACAAGATAACAAGAAAAGCGAACCTTGTTCATGAATCCATCTAGATCTTCTGCTGTCTTTTTTATCTCTCCACTACGCGAGGTTTGGACTTCCTTTGCCATTTCTTTCACAGTATCTTGGAGAAACTTTGCGTACTCCATCCTTGCATTCAGCCTTCTTTTTAATGCCTCCTGAAAAAGAAACGTTCAAGGAATTTTAGCATCTAACTTGACAAACAGGAAACAGTAACTGTGAGACGACAAAAGATCAAACAAAATCATACTTCCCAGATCAATGTAGCTAAAAATAGTAAAATATCGATATGATTTGTGTTCCTTTTAGCATTAATAAAATGAAATTCTTTGCTCTGCTCTTCCTAAATTTGTACACTAGTATATTATCAACATTGAGTAGCCTTAGTACTCTAAATCAGTTTCGAATAAAACAAATTCCAGTACTCAGATGGAAGCACTTGTTCAAGAGATTACAATTCTTCAAGGGAAACAGCTTACCTCTTCTTTCATCTTGTCCTGGAAAGTTGACGGAAGCATATTTGGAAACAGCTTCAGAGCTACAGGTAGCAAGAACTCCATGAACGGGACAATAATGAAAACTGCAACCGGGACTAATCTAAAAATGTCGGCAGTGGTTCGAGTCAGTTGCTGTCGTTCCCTCCTAGATAGACCTTTCCCATTAGCAAGTTTAACAAGCAGCCTAACACTAATCCTGACATCAGCCCAAAGCAACTTCGTCCCCAGCCAGTAGTGTTGCAAGGTAGATTTAAACTCATCTTTCCAATGGCGAAGCTTGATGACCCAATCTTCCCTACAGAACACATCTTTATATTAATAATAATAACAAAGAAATTCCATCAGCTCAGAAGTCACAATCCTGACCTGCTCATGGATGCAATAGCTCTCAAAGCAGGACCAATCCCAAGAAGAAACTCCCTCACACGTTGCATAATGGATATATCAGATTTGTGTGATTCTTCCAGTTTCTTCGCTTTAGCTTTGGCCTTAGCCAAACTCAGCCCCTCAACAGCTTCATCACACTCCTCAGGAGATGCTTCTTTGCTCTGTGAAGTAACCTTTTCCCCCTTTTTATCATCATCACGCTTGTTGGCCGTTGCAACAGAAGACCACAAAGATTGTTGAACCGATCTATACCCCAACGGATAATGAAACTCTAACTTCCCAACTCCTCCGTTACTAAAATTAGGAGACTGAAGCAATCGAAACCGTTCCAGTGAAGTGAAAGATTCTTTATTCTTGAGAAAAGAAAGCAATCTTGAATCAGGTTTTGAAGAATCTAGACGCTTAATGTTCTCATAACCTTGATAACGCTCAACGCTTGAGAGACATTGGATCGTGTTAACTTGTTCACTTAGAGACTGAACTATGTATTTCCTTCTTCGGAGAAGCGCTCTTGAAGCCATTTTTTTGCAGTAATGTTTAAATCTCTATACAGTATGAACCATCAAAACGCCTAACTGTAAAATGTTATCTGCATGATTTGATATTATACACAGATTATATGATATGATTAATCACAATCTAAGCAAGAAACAAATATGATAGATCATTCCAAACAATTCAGATTTTCACTAGAATCGCATTAACATATAGAGATCTTCTTCGCACTCGATTTTATGAACACTAAGTACGAATCCGAAATGTAATCCTTGAGAATATAACGGAAATTACAGACGAGTAACTGATTGATTGATTGCGACGAAATTGAGATGATGAGAGAAGGTAGAAGCTCATCAATGGAGACGATTGCTTCGGACTTACAACGATCAAGACGTGAAGGATCCAGAGGAAACTGGTGGAGGATAGTTTTGAGCGTCGGATGAATCGTCGTCACTCGGCTCTGAGAAGAATGATTCAACGTGTTTCTGCTGATTTTGACCGTTTTGTTTTGTTTCGGGTCGGGTCTAATCTGAAATTACAATTACGAATATGACTTCTACCCGGATCCGGATCTCCTTTGCGATGTTTCGTGAATATTCGTTTTTTCTTTCTTCTAGTGATGACTCATATTTTATTTTTGTAGTGTGAAAACTATCCGCTTATTGGAGCATTAAGAAAAATTGTTTCACATATGGTGGAATAACCTTTTCTAAATCTTTGTAGAGAGTATAGCTGAGTCTCCCCATAATATTATTTAAGCTGGAAAAATGTGATTTAGCTATATATATGTCAGTCCAAGTGCAATCAAATTTTCGGTCACTCTTTTAAAAAGACTCGAAAGTTAAATATGATTGAGCTGAAGTACTAGAAGGATGAATAGAATATTAGGAAATGAATTGTAATACGAATGAGGCCAAACACGGAAAAATGTGATGTGTTGATTATAGAATTAATATGCAAATATTTTGCACAACCGTCCGTTGTGTCTCATGGACCAAGTGAGCAAGCGTAAAGGCTCAATTGCGGGGGTGGTCAAGACGATAAAATGACATGATTTAACATTTATAGAAAAGAAAGATAGAGATATTACAATTGGATAACCAACGACTTAGTTCATAATGTAGAGACTTTCAAAAATCCAGACGCATAATATAGAGAGAGTCAAAGAAAATGAGAATTAGTTAATACATTGGATGATCAAAACTCTGCAGAGAAGTAGTAAGAGCAAATCAATCAAGAGATTTTAACAAAAGTTCACACAAATCTTCCAAAAAAAATATTATTATAATCTATTTCTGGTGAAACCGTGCCGTATGAATTCTCTGCAGTGAAACGGATTCATCACTATTTTGTGGACTCCATGACATATAGCGATTCATGATTGGTTGGTTTATTAATTTTTTTTAAAAAATCAAACATAAAAAAAAATTATAAATCAAAATAGTAATTTTGAGAATCGAGTCCCACCGAATTTAATGATGCGGATGCTCTAATTAAGATCCATCAAAAAGCAACAATGATTTGATAAACTGTTGAGATCCTTTTTATTTATTTACATGTCAGTAGATACAACCACACGATGTATATATACAAAGAATTATTTACAATGATTACAAAGTATATATACAAACCCATAATGTTTGTTGATAAATTACATATACTTTGTGTAGACCAGTGTGATGTTTGATTTTGCAAGTCTTGGTCAGGAAAACGAACGGAGTCCGATCAGAGACAACCGTTGGGTATAACCACACCAAGTTGCTTACCGGAAACATTTATGCAAGAAGTCTTTGCTGCTTCACCTTGATAGGTTATATTAATTGCCTGCATTCGAATCTGAGTGCATGGGAATCGCTCGCTGCAATCCATCTTTATAGCAACTTTTGTGGCTGATGTTCCCATGATTCCACTGTATATTACATCGTTTATTTTGATTCCCGACTCCTGAAATTTTTATATTCTTCACATTAGTCACTTATGTTTTAGAAACATTTCATACACGAATATTAAAACCATCATCTTGTTAGGTTCTATGATATGTAAATAAATACAAAAAGACTAAAGATCACTAACCAACCAAATTACTTCGTTTTCTATTTCAGAATCGGTATTGAAGAATTTTTAAAATATGATGGGTCATTTATCGAATGTGTTCACAACTTTCGTGTTTTCTTTTAAACAGTGTCATGTGTATCTTTAATTATATATAAAATAGATTAATTATTAACAAAACTGTTATAGCATTTCTTTTTTTGTTACCAATTTTGGCTTTGTATTAAGCAATATTAAAAAAAAAAATTGAAGGAGAAATTACCTCAGAAGGGCAATAAGAATCGCCAGGGCAATAGTTCTGGTCAATGAGGATAGGATATGAGACATTGACCATACGAGCCCCTAAGAACCGAACCCTCTCCACAAATCCTTTGCTATGACGTGGCCACGACTTTATCCTTAGCCCATTGTCCGTTCGTACGAACACTGCCTTCTTCACTGTCACGTTTTCCACGCCTTCCTCCTCTAGCTCCTTCGCTAAGCTACCAATGCTGGACAAAATAATGTGTTAGACCAAAATAACTAAACCAACAATACTTGTAATATGTCATGTATATATATACCTGATTCCATGTCCAGGACCACAGGCGATTCCATCTATCATCAAGTTCTTTGTACCGGGTCCGATTGAGATACAGTCGTCTCCGGTTTTGATGGAAGCATTTCTGACCTCGATGTCAGTCGATTTCTGAATGTGAATCCCATCAGTGTTGGGGCTATCGTCTGGTGCTATGATACGTATATCTTCAATCTTTACATTGTTGCAACGGTTGATTGCTACGTGGAACAGTTGGCTGTTCAATGACAATACTCCTTTGATCTTCACGTTGTATGAGTCCATGAATCTCAGTGTCTGCGTTTAATATAAATAATCTTAGTTTTTTGTTAAAAAAAATCTTAGTTTATGTAAGGTCATGATTGTTTATTTGTGTTTGCATTTTCGTATGTGTTTGGTAAGTGTTCTTCCAGATAAAAATATAGTAAGATACACAAACTATTAAACTAAAAAATGTCAATTTAAGAAACTTTAAAGACACACCAATTTGGAGTTTAGATTAATTTTTAGGATTTAGGTTTTAGACTTTAGGATTTAATTTATTAATTTCAGAATATATAGTAAATATTTGGTAGATGATATGGCATATATGTTTATTATGAGTATTCTTTAAAATATAAAACTAAAGTTGTTGTAAACGCAAACTCTAAATAAAAAACAGATAAAAACATAAAAACCGAAGAAACTCTATTTTGTGTTGAGTTAATTTGTACATTGCAAAAACACTTAATAAGCAATTTTTGCATCTAACACATATGAGTAGTACATACCGTTGCACCTTCAGGGCAGTCTTGACCATTGGCTTTGCAACTCCACAAGGTAGATCCCTTAGCATCAAAAGAACCTCCAAGAAGAGTAACATTGTGAACACCTACAAAACTGAACCAATTTTCTTTTTTTCCAAGCAACTTATAATCTTGAGGACCAATCAAAGTTCCATCAATCCTTAAGGTTATCTCACGGCTTCTGCAGCTTTCTCCTTCAAACCGAAGCTCCCGACCAATCAAATACCTTCCTTTTGGCACGTAAATCATGGCCGAATCTTCCACTCGACATGCTGAGTCCCATGCATCCGAAAAGGCTTTTGTCGAATCTACAACTCCGTTTGGTTTCGCCCCGAAACTCAGAACGTTAAGACTTGTTCTGGCTTCAGACTGAGCAAAACGGGACATGGTTATTGTTACAAGGATGGTAAAGACGTGAACAAAGCCTATAGACGATGCCATTACGAAGGATAATGTGTTTGTGTTTTTTATTGGAATGATATAAAAGTTTAAGAACGTATAAGATATTTTGATGAATCTATAAGTGTGCACATGTGTATATATATGTTTTAAGGTTTTGGATAAAGAGAAGAAGGCTTCTTTGTGGCTTAAGAATCATAATACGAAGCAAACGGCGTGCGTCGCCATCAATTTCTCTACGGTATTTGAAAACGAGTTGTTTGGTTTCCAAGTAATTTAGAAGCCTCCGTACGTAACGTTCAAAATATATTCTATCTTTTGTAACAAGTCAAGTAAGTATGAAGTGATCCTTCAACTTTAATCATTTTGATGATATTTTATATTACAATCATGACCGTTGTTATATAATTCAATTTATAAGATTTATAACCTTGATTACTATTAAGACCTAAAGCAGCTCTTCGACCATATAAAGAAAAATAATGAATCCATACGACAAATTGTTTCATCTTATATTGCGGTGCCATGTTTAACTAGTTTTAAATTTGTCAGAAAATATAACATATGTTCTACAGATGATCTTAGGAAATATAATTGATATATATAGTAATATTTTACTTCTTGAAAATTAATTGGGTTATAGAAAAAAATAAAAATATATAAAAAAACTGATCCGATTGTAAACATTTTTTAAAACATAGTCAACTGAAATATAGTTTTAAATATCTAAATTCTAGGAATTAATATATATAAAAAGTATACGATCATAATTTGTTTAAAAAATCTTAATTATTAAGTCAACCATATCTCCCAAAATTTTGTAACAACCCATATTTATTGCTTTTCTTTTGTGTTTTGTCATCAAATTGTCTAAACTTTCTATTTTTTTTTAAACCGGCCATATATTTGACTAAAACTTATGAGGTTGAAACCATGGGAACTAGACATGATACCATGTTAAGAAAAAAAAAAAGACATGGTACCATAGCTCTTGGTCACAAAGAATATATCTGAAAACGAGTCAAGATTGATCATGATTAACCCAAAGTGTTTAGAGTGTGATTCTTAACGGAAGATAAAAAACCATTTTTTAATTTTTAACTAAAAATGCTAAGAATCGATTTTTAAAATCTTTATTTAAGAATCGGTTTTTAGCATTTTTAGTTAAAAGTTAAGAAACAATTTCTTAACTTCCGCTAAGAATCTCACTCTAACAATCATGGATTAATCATGTTCTTAGAGCTTTCTCAAGACACATATTCTAAAAGAAATTTGTTTCAAAAATATATTGATGCCTTTATGTCATAAAAATAAATTTTAGACTTCGAAAAATTTATAGAATTTATTATTATAAAAAATAGATAATTGTAGAAAATGATGTATTTATAATCAAATTTAATATATTTTAACGTGTCTAAAATTTAAATATACATCTTTGTAATCAGAAGGAATTGAATGTTAATGAAAATCAGCTATCATTTCCATATCATGTTTGGATTTATTAATTAATATTATAATGAATGGTCTTTCTTCGTTTTTCGTTCCTTTTTTAAGCCTTACTTTAAGAGATCTAGCATACATGCGTAGTTGAAATTTAAGCATCGCATTGCTTACAAAAAAAGAATGTACAAAATTATTAATTAATCATATACTGTCATCGACCCAAAAAAGCCTGTTGATTTGAATTCCCATCTCAACCCGCTATAGATCATGACACGTTAAATATCATATGATTTGTTCACATCATCAGAATCTTATCATGTTTTATATTAAACTGATTATTGGCATAACTCATTCTTACTAATATAAACTTTTCATAGCTATATCTACTCTATTAAAATAGAGTCATTCTTTTTATCTATTAATCCAAGTTGTCATTTAAATTTGTACTTTTTCTAGAATATTACAAATAATATAAGTCATATAATTGATTGAACTGTATTAATTAAATTAAACCAACACAATTAATGTAAAAAGACAACTTTAATGTAAACTACCTTCAAAATACGGCAGATATCTGTGTATACCAAAAACACATATTTTTTCCTACAAATATGGAATGTTCTAAAAGAATATATATCATCAAAAGATGGAATATGAAAATCTACTAATTATACTTAAATTAAACCAATGGTTATTTATGGAATATAGTCTTGAGCTTACTTTTATTTTTTGAACAAATTATATAGTTTGGTTTTTGGGCTTAGTATTAAGAAAAAACTCCAAAAAATATTGAATAAACTTTTCACTTTAAAAGATCAAAAAAATTATTATTTTCAGACCCAAAAGGTATTTAATATTTTTTACAAAACAAAATTAGCTATTATTAATCATTAATCATGTACTTTAAAACATGTTAATATATTTTTTTATTTTAAATAACAATCACTTTGTTTTGATAAATTTCAATGGTAACTTTTAAATAACTTATTGTTTTATTTTTCTTAAATAATTTACTGGTTAACAAAATGTAAAGCAAAACCAAAAACCAAATCTAAAACCTAAAATCCAAAACTAAAAGCTGAAAACACATGTTATATGTTTTTGCTCTATTTATTTAAAAAATAAACTATTTCAATTTTTGTTTTTTAATTTGTTGTCATCTTTTCAGTTTTAAATTAGATGTTCAATTATTTGAGATTTGTTTGTTGGTAATATCAGTTCAAACTAACTCAGCGGGTTTAAAAAATAAAAACCCAAACCAAAAGCTGAAAATGAAAAGTAGAAACTTAAAAACTAAAAACCAAAAACCAAAATCTAAAAATAAAAACTGAAATTAAAAACTAATGAAAAAAAATCATCCCCACAAATTTTGGTGAACTGATTTTATATCAAAATATTCTTTAAATTAAGACAAAACCTAATTATATAAATTTTTAATCATAAAAAATTTCCGCGCTTGAAAAGCGCGGGTCAAAATCTAGTAAAGTAATAAAACAAAGTACAAAAGTTAAACACTATAAGTTTTATAATTTGATATCCGGTAAAGTTAGATTAATTCAAAACTATAATATAATATAATCGAATAATAATAGAAAATGGTTATAAACGTTTAATAAATGTATATTCCTATTGAAATCATAATTTTATAATTATAAGTTACAATACTTATAAAATTGATATAAACAAAACACAGTATTGGTTGTTTTTGCTTTAAAGTAATGAATTTAATATGAGATCGTGAAAGCAAATATTTATTTTATTTTAAAAATAAAATAAGATAGTTCTAATGTTGGGTAGAAAATGAGCAAGTACAGTTACCATTTTCGCATTGATAGAGATTTTCAAAGTAATATTAATACAAATTCATCACTTTAGTTACAGAGTATTTATTGAGAGAGGGAGAGAGAATTACAAAAAACAATAAAAGTTACATTACAAATCCATTACTCATAAGCAGCAACAACAACATATTAGCCTCTAAACAAAAAAAACAAGAAGCTAATCAGTTTCTTTTGTTGTCTTTTCACACAAATTTCCCCACATTAGAAACCATTAAGAGGCAAGAGTTGCTTTGAACCTCACTGTATGTACACTTACAAAAGACCCTTCCAAGGGAGAGGTGGCTCCTCTTCTATGGACTGTGCAAATTCCTTTAACTGCTCAACCACATCAAGTGTATTGCTTAGCTGTTGATAATCGGATCGATGAAGAGCGTTCGTTTGTCCTGAGGTTTTGGATCTATCATCGTAATGTTTCTTTGCCGATGCACAACCACGAGGGTAATGACGCACACGGATTCTATGGTTTTTTGTTTGAGTCGAGAACCTTCCGTGCACCACGAGCACCAATATGACTTCCTCATCTCTTGTGTCTTCACACCATGAGTTCTGAGTAACACCGTCCACAAACTCTTCTACTGTTGGGAAGTCTTCGAGGCGCACTGCGACCTCTGCTATTTGGTTCGGCTTGATTATCCCCGTTCCTGGAGACACCTGTTTACATAAAATAAGCATTCACTTAGGAAACGCAACAATGGCAAAGCCAAACGCAAGCCATGAAAGAAGAACTAACCTCAAGCCACTGGGGAAACCCGAAAGAGCCTCTTGCTCGGTGGTCGTGCGCCTGACCGTCTTCCTCTATGATGGATTGACCTTCACAGATTAATTTGAAGAAAGCAATGTGCTTCTCGCTCTTATTCGTGATACGCAGAATCGTTGAATCACGATTTTGGAGAATTATATTATTAGTGCTGACGACTGTTTCTGGAACCTTGCTTAACTCTCCAAGCATGACCTTTATTTTCTTATTCGTGTTTATGATGTTCCCCAGCTCTTGTCTCCTAACTGATTCATCGACCCTGGCGATCTTGACGTTAAATACACAGCGCACGGGCTTGTGGTCACTGTCTGTTACATCCATGCACGCATCATACCTTACAAAGATAAAATAAACAAGTGTCAATCCTTCCTCAATTATAAAGGGTCACATAAAGCATGATTTATTCACATTTGTATCTCAAGGACTCTTGAGTAGCGACACCATCATCAATAAAACATATGGAAACCTACCGTGATTATGTAGCTACTATGCTTTCTAGTTTTTACCGTGAACTGACACAGAAACCTACTGACCGTATCCAAGGGAAAAGAGGAAGCTTACTGTGATACAGAAGACACCACTGGACAATCCAAACTGCAGTCAGCTCCCAAATGACTCTTGCTATCCCGATATAGGATCCTATCACACCAGGCAGGAATCCGCTTCTTTTCCCCAGAATCATATCCTGCATAAACACAACTTCAGTGTTCAAATACAGTTTCGGCAACTCAGTGCCCGTTCAATCCCAAAAGGCCTAGATATATTAATATTATCACAGATCCAGCCTCTTCCCATTGAAAAATATCATGTGACAATATCATGTGAACATATTTTTAAATTTCCTAGGTAGATTCGTAGATGCAAGGCTAACTTTTCAAACTAAAGTTTTGTAATTTTCGTCTGTTAGTACTAGGAGAAATCCACATTCTCAACTTTCAAATTATTTACCTTTAGGTTTTAGGCTACCTACCTAGCAGAGAAAAATTTTGATGTCACAATTCATAATGCAGTCAACTTAAGAAAGATTTGGAACAGAACCTTGAACTACGATTATACAAGGAAAATTTTTAGAAGCAACAAAGAGAAAATCACTGACCTGCTAGACCAGCTTGGTGCCTTTCAAACTTGTATGTTGGAGGAAACCTGATAATTGCTTCACGCATCCCTTGAAAAACATTCCCAGCTTCCATTTCAGCACGTAGCTGGTCTTTTTCTCTAAGCCAGTCAAAGCATCTTTGAGAAATGAAATCCCTTGTTTCATCATAAGTTATATCGTCCAAGCGGTAGTTAAAATCTCCAAGAAATACGATCATGTCTGCTTCAGATAATTCAGGCCTTGCTTCAAATGCGTTGACAGCCTGTGAAAATATACCTGTTAGACTTCCGAAGAAATTACACATTACAGTCTATGATAGAGAATGATAGCAAGAAAAACTACAACAAGCAACGGAAGTACGCACATTGCCACCACGAGGCACTGAGACACCAAATGAAGCACTAGCTGCAATGGAAGAGATCAATAACAAGAGAGACCAATGAATAGGCCAAAAGCGATAAGCCAAGAAGGCAACAGAACAGGAGAGGAATATATTTCGCAGCATACCAGCTCCTGAATTGAGTGAACTAGACAGGCGTGAAAACGCCATTGTTCGATAAACATGGTCGAAGTCAGCATTTCGCCGGCTAACAGCTTCAAGGTGTGCAGCAAAATGACAATTTACAAAGCACAGTATCCGATCATACATTCTGAGTCGAACACCTACCGCTCCCTGAAAAGACAAAAAATGTTTTGTAATTATAGAGATGAGATGATAAAGAAATAAAAAGTGGACCATATAAGTCAAAACGCGCCATACCTTATTACCAATCGCTCGTCCAAAACCACAAGGAACCGCAGCAGCGTCAACATCTCCCACGTGAGGCTTAAGGTCACTTCTAACCCTGAAAAATGTATCTCTTCTATAAGAATCTAAACTTATCAAGTTCATTCAATACTGGCAAGTGAAATGGTAAAACACGCCCCAGAGAGAAAGTATGCAGCATAGAAATTGGGGAATCCCTAGAGTCAACAAAGAAAGGATAAGTAACACGAATCTATATTCTATCTCCTTAGCTTTAGGACCAAACCAAATATTTTAAGAAAACCAAATAAAGATCGACGAAAACTGAAATAAGATAATGCAAACTGAAAATTTAGTCTTATGCTGTTATTTAAGAATTGCTCTGTAGAGTTGGACAAAACGAACATTTGGCATCTAGAATTAAACAACATAGATGAGCATAAATACATGGAGTATGCTTCAACTATAACATAGATTGTCCAAAAAATGAACAGATATAAGTAACTTCAAGAAAGACTAACCATACACAAATGAGCAACCCTGCTAGCTGCCTAGAGCCAACGCGAACAAACGATGAACCCTCATCCAACGTTTTCCCAATCAAATCCATCCACCACTGACCCAGTGGACTACCCTCAAGTCCCACCTGCATTTTCGGGGAAATATAGTTAAGAAATTCAGAAAACCAAAACGCACTATATAGATAGGCTATTAGCTTGTCGTATAAAACTTGAGTCCTTAAGCAGAAAGAGAATGAAACATGTGTGTGTGTGTGTGTGTGTGCGCGCGCGCACGTGTACGTCTGAAAATTTATATACTTGAAAATAACTTAAAAGCAAAACAAAGGTCACGAGGATCGCGTAAAATGAAGGCCAATCAATTTAGGCAGTTAACCAGATTATGTTCATGTTGTCTACTCTTCCCTGAATTGCATACTTAAATAGCATTGGCGTTGCATCAGCCAGAAGAATGGCATACGCATTAAGATATAAATCTTTCCCAGTAATACTAGGTAAACGGCAACTTACTGTTTCTCTTGCTGCGGACATTGCAAGAACTCCTGCTCCCATTTCAACTTCTTGCAGCCCAACAACTACGATCTCAACTCCAGTTGCAGCACAGCCTAACCAAGATACAATTGAGTCGGTTGATGCTCTACCCTCTCCAACGTTCCACGTACCAGCTAATATTTTCACGTTCTCGATCCTTGAATACAAAAATTCTTTCCCAGCCAACTCAGCCCGTAATACATTGTCAAGGGGCCCTGGAGAAGTAACATTCCATCCTCGGATACCTCCATGATACGCAAGGGTAAATAAATAACCACCACCAATAGCCATTTTTATTACAGGACCACTATGAGCCACCCATCCTCCAAGCAGCTTTCCCTCAAGGTCCAATACCTGAACAGTTCCATTGGAATAACCAACCCACAGCCGAGAACAAAAAGTAAACATGCAGAGAATACCAGAAGACTGGTATGAGAACTCTTGCAAGCAATTACCATTCCCATCCCATCGCATAACTACACCGTTTGCAGTTCCAGTCCAAATGACTCCATCAGCAGATATGACAATGGCCTCAGTCCTTTTACTATCATCACAAAACCCCCCTTTCACTGCAGCACGGCGAACTGCATCAGCTGCTCCCATAATAGCATTACGCGACCGCTGAAAGAAACCAAGAGAAGACTGACTTTTCTCTTTCCTTGAAGCAGTGGCAATCCTCATATTTGCATCTTCATCAGTGCCAAAATCAGGAAAAACGGACATGTCATTTCGATTTTCAAGCTGCCCATCAATATTGAATACTTTGATCAAATCCCTTGTGCGAGCATCCCTGATACGCAATAAACAAACAGAAGACAAACAAAAATCACAACGGAGTTATACAGGTAAACTTAATGGTTGTGTCAAGCAACTAAAAACCAGTGATTCAACACAAAAGTAGATAATGTTTATCAAGTGAATTGATTTAAATGCCATGAAAAACTGGAGATTAGCCAAAATCATAAGGCTGATTGCATAAGAAAAGCAGACAAAAAACGAGTCTCAAACTTACCACAAAGCAAACGTCAAGGGACTAGCACTCCACACTTTTGCCCTTGTGTGATCAGATACCAAAAACGTAACATCTGACGTCAATGTATTAGCAAAACCATTGGCCGAAGTCTGGTTCCTTGGGTCAATATACGATCTCTCTATTGATAACACAGCCATGTTCCTCTGTTCCACTTTCAAAGAAAGAGACTTCCCCAAACCTTCCCAGGGCCAAACTTTAAGAGCGCCTCCCTCAGACCCGGACCATATATCTCCTAGACAACCGATAACAAAAGTTGTTACATGAGAGAAGGTTAAACACAATATTTTAAAAAAAAAACTCCTCTGCAAAGGTTCCATAGTTTATATCCAGAGAATTCCAACAGGCACTGAATGGCTAACTCAACGAGATCTATCTATCCACCCAAGGAAGATCAAGTACAGGAAGTTTCAAGTTCACCACTAGAACCCACTAGTTTTCCCCAATCACTTAGGGTCAGAATAGCAACATGCCGGACAACTGCAAGACAACTAACTGCTGTGCGGTTCTAACAGTAACAAAAATATATAGATACATAGATATATGTAGAGATTTTTGTTACTATTAACTGCGGTGCGTTAAAATCATTACTAAAAATTTGCCATACAAGCAAATTAACAAGCACCATTTTGAGACTCCATAAGTTGTTTATCAGAGTACTCAATATCAACATTCCAATCTTCCTCTATACCTAAACCGTCTAAAACACTCACCATAAGAGGAGATGGCAATGGAGAGCACAGGACCACGATGAGCTTGCCACGACAAGGCCTCTTCAATCACATAATCCTCTCTAATTTTCCAACATCTAATCCTCCCATCCCTATGCCCACTCCAAACAACTCTACTCCCTTCATCCCCAACCATACACACAACAGAAGATCCCATCTCCATCTCCGAACTCTCTCTATACGGCGCCGTATCCTCCACCTCCACCTCTAATCCCCTCCCGCTTCCATACAATCCCTCGAAGTCCCACACCTTCAACCCCCCGTCCTCCCCTCCCGCCCATAGCTGCCTCTCCGTACTCGTCATCGTCCTCAAGAACCGTCCGATTTCACTTTCCCTTAGAGGATGAGGCCTGACGTCGAGGCTGGGAGGTCGATTCGGATGAACCGCGGACCTGATCGGGACCTTGAAGATCCCGGCGCCGCCGCACTTCCCGACGAACTCCGGGAGGGAATCTGAGCCGCCGTCGGGGGAGGTATCGGATCCGATCGCGTCGGAATTGCCGTCTTGGCTGAGCCTGCGGTCGAGGAATTGGATCATGTAGTCGATTCGTTTGTTGCTGTCGTCGAGGGAGGGGGCGGAAGGGTGGGATTGGGATTGGGATTCGTCGCCGGAGGAGGAGGAGGAGTAGGAGTAAGAGGAAGGGTTGAAGAGAGTGGAGGGGGTTGCGGTGGTGGCGGAGGAGAAGTCGGAGTCGTTGGGTGTGGTGAAGAAGGAGAATACGTCGTCGTTTTGGTGGTCTCCCATGACTTTTGAAGTTTTACTTGAGCAGATAGAGAGATTTTGATTTCGGTAAAGCCTCGAGAGAGAGATATTTTGAGGAGAAGCGGAGAAGTGCTTGAAACGTGTTGCTATGAACCTCCTCTGGTTATTATTCTTTCCCGGCCAGTAAAAAAAAAATTATGATCAGTAACTAAATTGAACCGGTTATATGGCTACAGTGAATCACATTTTTATTTCTTTCCCGGCCAGTAAAAAAAAAAAAGAGTTTCCCTCGGTTATATATGGCTACCGTGAATCACATTTTTTATTTCTTTCTTTGTACATGCCTAGGCGGCTGAAGTCTTAAATGGATTTTTTTAAATTAAAGAAAAATTCGACCTACTGAAAATATAAATAAGATTTTAACTAAAGTTCATGTTAATATTAATAGTACGGGTTGTTGTTATCTAAAAATATGTTAAATTTATTCAAACTAAAAACAATTTTTACATCAAATATTCTTTTTTTTTTAAACTGCTTAAATCAAATAATTAACTTTTAACTACACACAACCAATATTATAATCCACCTTCATACGACAAATCTTCCATCATTTGAATAAAACTTAGCCGACTTTTACAGTTTTGTCACTAATCTTTGAGAGTTGACAAAGAAATAAAATGAAATTGGCCATGTCGTCTTTGATTTATTTCATAGATGTTATGACTCGTAACTTGAAACAAATATCAGATTATAGTAGTGGTTGTCATTGCATGTGTACTCTCTGAGATCAAAGCCATAATGTTATATCTTTTTTTTTTGTCAACAATATTTTTACTAGTTTGAGTTCACACCGATTAAGAAAATCAAATCGATAGAATATAATCAAAGATAAATCATATCAAAATATAGATTTCAAACTCTCAATTTAAACTAGTCCCACTGAATCCATGTAAACAAACTCAAGCGTCCGTTGGGAAAAAAAAACGCAAGAGTCTTATTAGATATGATGTCTAAGAGTTGTTTATGTTGCATTTAACTTGTTTTCCACAAACTTTATCATTTGATGTCTCAAGTTTAGGTAACCCTTGAACCACATCTTCTTTGAAGTCAGACTTAGAACATAATTTATGTATACATACACCAACATATACTGGATACTTCTCACTTATAATAGTTCTTACTTTATCTAACACAGAGTAGAACTATAATTCTGGTTGCATCAGTTAAATGTATTTATGTTGCTACTTTCTAGTCTATGGATGACAGACCACGACTAAGAAGAAAATGTATATTATGAACAAAATTCCAGATAAATTTGTAAACCTCAAATAATGTAAAGGTCAGTATAATAATCGCTAACTCATTTAGAAGTGAAATATATCTAATGTAATATGATGTACAATCCGATCCACATTATACAACTTGATTTATAATCAATCTGACTCCAAAATTAGTTTGGTAATTAATATCTGGTATATACCGAGATTAATAATCAAATAACCATTATTTTGCAAACACATATTAAAAATAAATCTCCTAGTGAACGTTGAACAAAAATTATAAATAACATACAATTTGTAACACACACGCAAATCATACAGTAGCAATCTATTTGGAATTAGAAAAATCCATCTCTACTTTGACAATTTAACAATATACTAGATGATAACCCGCGCCATGCGCGGAGTGAGCTTTTTAAAAATATGTTGTATTTAAATATATATTTTGCTATCAATATGGACATTTGGGTACTATTTGTTTCGGTTAGATTATGTTTGGTTTAGATCATTGCGGTTTGGTTTGAATTTTTACAGGTTCAGATTGGGTTTAAGTTCGCATAACCCATTTAATTTTTGTAAAAAGATTAAAATTCATATATACTTTAAGTTTTTCAAAACCTAAAAGTAGAAATAATATATAACATAAATTTGAAAAATGAATGACAAAATACTTAAAATTAACATAAAATTGATTTATCTTAAATATTTGGACAAAAAATAAATAAATATTTCAAATATTTTTGGTATTTAGAGGTTGATTGGCTATTTTAAAAATTTGCGTTTAACTATTTTACATATTTCTAAGTATTTTAGAATTTTTTAAAACATCTCATGTGTTTTGTATATTCTTAGATGTTAAATTTAAAAATAATTAATATATTTACGAATATAAATCTGGTTCGAGTACACTCGGATACCCGAAATTTTTCGATTCAGTTTTGATTATCTAGATACCAAAATTTCGAATTCGCTTGGATATCTAACCAATTTTGCTTAAAAATTTGTATTCATTTTTGGGTTAGATTTGGTTCGGTTATTTGGATTTAGTTTTTTTTGTCCAACCATATATTTTTTTATTATACCAAAAATTAAAACGAAATGGATGATGGTTCATATTGATTTTGGGTATGCAAAAATTTTAAACAAAACACACTCTATTATGGGTGATCCATTTAGTTAATCATTATGAACTATTTAAGACCCATTAGAAAAACGATTGGCTGAACTAAAATCGTTACCATTGATCACAAAATTTCAGTGTGAGATTNAAACGAAATGGATGATGGTTCATATTGATTTTGGGTATGCAAAAATTTTAAACAAAACACACTCTATTATGGGTGATCCATTTAGTTAATCATTATGAACTATTTAAGACCCATTAGAAAAACGATTGGCTGAACTAAAATCGTTACCATTGATCACAAAATTTCAGTGTGAGATTTTTACCATCTTAAGTAATTTATGTTCGTTTTAAAAAAATTAAAATATAACGTATAAGAACATATATAAATTTTTTTATTATATAATTAATGTGATTTTTTAATTTCTTTTAATAATATAAATTAAATAAAACATAAAGAGCATAAAATTTTTTATCAAATATTTATTATTCATAAACATTAATTGTGATATATATGTTAATCATATTAGGTAATTCCGTAGCTTTTATTTAAGGAAAGAATAAAAAATATTCTTTTGTACACTACTAATTAAATATGATAGTTGGTATAATAAAAATAAACGTATGTTTAGTTGAACCAACATATTTTTCTAAGAGTTATGAAAATCATTCTCATTGTGACACGTGGCTACCAAAAAATGTTGTAATACTCCAACATATAGGAGATTTAAATTATTAATAAAAAATATTATAATTGAAATTTTTCAATGCTTTATTAATTTAGAGTCGTTTGTAAAAATTTAAATATAACATATGTAAAAATCTAATTTTTTGTTATATAGTTAATGTTATTGTTTAATTTATTTTTATAATTAAATTTAACAAAAATAGCAGATGCTATAAATTTTTTTTATCAAATCTTCATATTCAAATTATTAATTGTCATATATATATATATTGTAACCATATTAGGTAATTCCGTAAATTTTATTTAAGGAAATAATGAATAGCATTAATAATAGTTTTATGTTTAGGCTAATAAAAAATATATTATATGTTTATATGGACCAACATTTTTCTCTAGTAAATTTGAGAAGCATTCTCATGCTGACACGTGGCTACCAAAGAATGTTGTAATGCTTCTCAAATAATATATAGGGGATTTACGTGAATTTGTTTGCGAGAATACTAGGAAAATAAATGATCTAAAACAATATCCGATCCAGCTATTCCTTATGTGGATGATCTTAAGATAAAATAAAATACAAAATAAATAATACGATATCAATTAACACAATCCCCGTTGACAAAAGAAAATGTAACATATCCCCCAGTTGACCAAACCAATGAAAATCACATCAACAATATCAGTATTACCAAATTCTCACCAAAATCACTAACAAATAAACGAAAACAGTCTTCGATCATACACCTTCTGCTTTTTTTTTTTTTTTGTAATGTCAGATCAGTGCAATAGTTCTAATTAACTTTTGAACATGATTGGTAAAATTAAATTTTACATTAACATGAGACTATATTATTGAAATTTTTCATCCATCCATTGTTCTTCATCAAACACATAATTTTATCGTTAACCAAACATACTTACACAGTTCAAAATATTAAGAAAACAATGTAATATACTTTTGGCCCAAAAAACGATTTAATATACTTTCCACTATTAATAAGAAACACAAATTTCGCATTTCTAGCATATGGTACATATGAACTAATTAACATTGATGATTCAGAAAACACTCTTTATACATCCCCAAATTTCGTCAATTTTTAGGGTAAAATCAGTTTTTCATGTGAATTGTATATTTTTCTCAATCACATGTAAATGAATATTATCTACGTTCATTATAAATGTCATATATTTTCTTACAAATAATATCATTTTGTATTTCAAACAGGAGTTTTTGAAAATATCACGTTTATATGCTGGTATCATGGTATGTTAGCTTATCACAATTTATATATTTTTTCCTTGATACTACGTGTAAAGACATTTTCGAGAATCACGTGTAAAGACATTTATAATGAAATATTTATCATTTGTCTATATAAAGAAAGAGATTTCTAAGCTTTGAATTCTGAGATTCTCCTTCATTTCTGCTACGAAGAAGAGTTTATATTAAAAACCATTTTTGCTATTTTACTTTATTGCTATCTACTGAAAGGAATAATAATGAGAGGTATAGCAACAAAGATCTCCGGCGTTACGCCGTTGTTTGTGCTATGCATCGCCGTGGCAACCTCCGCCTTTAAGGACATCGAAAAGTTAAGGATTTGGCCGTTACCGGCGGAAGTAAGCCACGGTGGCCGGAGAATGTATTTAAGCGAAGATTTCAAGCTTGTCACGGAGGGAAGCAAATACCAAGACCCTTCGGGTATTTTGAAAGAAGGCTTCGATAGAATGCTTGCAGTTGTGAAGCTGAGCCACGTTGTCTCCGGCCACCGGAACTCTTCGGGCTCCGGTGGATCTGCTCTGCTTCAGGGACTCCACGTCATCATCTCTTCCTCCACCGATGAGGTTAGCTTCATTCACCCACTCACGTCAACTAATAAAGTGGATTTTTTCATGAAAATTATTACGTTTATGAATTTTAGAGTGATATCATTATTATTTGGAAAGTATAAAAAATAGTTATACGTAAAAACGTATAAAAAGAAATCTGAAAAAGTTAAGTTGACAAGATAAATATTCTTCTTCTTTATTGTTAGTGGATGAAGATCATTTTCTCTGTGTTTTTTTTAGAAAATTGTCATCACATTTTATGCTGAAATATTTTTAACTTGAAATTCATTATAGAAGAATTATATTTTTAACTCCAGTTGTGTTTTCTCTAAAATGTTCACCATTCTCATCCTAACTAGTAGCTACTGGCAATATCTTCGTAGAAGAATTTCTTATTGCTTAAAATAGAGTATTTTATATGTTCAGCAAAGAGCTATAAAATTGGATCTGTAGATGTATCGATTCTCCAACTTGTTATTTATTTTAATTGTTTGCTTGCTTGATTTTTGCTGATTGGTGTCTGGGGCGTCGTTGGTTGTGTGGTGGTCCACCGACTCACGGACATCCTCATTGAAATATTAAAGCTCTTTTTTTAACAAAGAATAATTAAAGTCATTTGCAATTTTGCATGAATTTTATAATAATTTTTATATATAATTTTTTTCAAGTAGTATGCATTTTTACGTGGGTTTTGAAAGAGCTTATCAGCTAAAAGTATATTTTCTGTATGTTATTTTTATAGAAAGTTAAAACATATATATGCATTGCTAATGCTTTAGTTTATCGGATAAGATGATTAGAAGAATTCAATTCCTTTTTGAAATAGTACTTGAAACAATTTTTAATTAGTATTTTATTTAAAATGATGTCTGAATATCATATATATATTACAAAAGTATAGCAGTTATTCTTTGTTCTAAAACTTGGTGGATGTGACTGATTGCATTGCCATGGAAATTTGTCAAATCCTATTCTAAATGAGAGGTAACAGATTGAATGTCGAATTTAGCATTTTAAGCTCGAAAATGAAATAATACAGTTTAGATCTATTATAATGCATAAACCATGAAAAAAAATAGTTAAAGCTGAATTTTGGCCAGTATGGATCAAGTGGCCACCATGTTTACATCTTTTAAAATCGCTAAACCCTTTCAAAAGTACGATACCAAAATTACCAATTTTTCCTCTTACTTAATAAACGAAGAGAAAAGAATGTCAAATGACCAAACATTGCTAGAACCGTGCACCTAACATGAAAATTTTCATCAACCACTAAACCATCATCATTTTTGATATTTTGCCAAAAAGTACTACAATATATATATATATTCATACGTGAAAACTATCACCAAACTGATTCCGATTAATCTTCGTGTAATTTTTGACTAATTGATTTGACCTATCTCGGAATCAAGTACACACTTTTTATTTTGCTGTGTCTGCATTTTTTTGAGTAATTTAATTCTGATTTAATACTTTGCTTAATATAAAGGACAACGATGCATGTGCATTACTGTTTGATTTGAGTAGTATAATACGATTAGTTTTATTTATTTTTTGTGTAAAAGGGCTTTATAATACAATTAGTCAAAGGATAAGAATGCAGAGATCCACTTAATTTGTAGTATTAGAATCATAGATCCAGTTTTTAACCAGATCATTTTCTTTATGATCCACGCGGTAGAAATAACAAATAACCAGAACTAAGTGAAAAAAACAATAAATTATTAATGATTAATTGATAGTAATCTATGGTTCATAATGGTTAAAGACAGTGATTGATTCTATTTAATTATTTTTTAGATATAAATATTTGGTGTGCTGACTCACAAGATTTTAGTTTTAATAAAAAATGATATATTTTATTTTTTTAATAAACAAAGTTCTTTGATGTTATGATTATGAGATTAATAAGATAATGTGGCACTTACGATTTAAAGAAATATTGTTAGTGCGATTTTGTAAAAAACCCCGACAAATATTATTATTATATTTGTAAGAAAAACTCAACTATATTATTATAATTATTAAAATCTGTGGTTGACAAAAAAAAAAAAAATCTGTGTGATTGGTATGGTGCAGTTGGAATATGGAGCAGACGAATCGTACAAATTAGTGGTTGCATCCCGAGGGAAGCCGTCTTATGCACAACTTGAGGTTAGTACTTCCCACGCACCAACTAAAAACTTTCTCTAACCACTTATTATATATCCATAAAAGATAATGTGAGGCTTTATAACCATAAAAGACACCAACTTTAGATATTTGGTATTCCTTTCCTTTGATCTCTTTTACAGTTGATTAACTTGAGTTTGATATCAAGAACATCTCTAATTTCCTTCCATAATCTATTCTAAAATGAAGTTTGGAGCGTATATGATCAAATTATACTTCATTCCTAGTCCATAATAAAATAAACAAAATTTACTATATTAAATGGAATAAGTTTTTTTTTCATGGCTCCATTTTCACTCCTTAAATAAATAAGGCTGGTGTAAATGTAAATCCAATAAGTTTATTATTATTTTGGAAAAAAATGAAGTTTTACATTTTAAATGCTATGAGAACATCACAAAAAGACATTTTGTAATTTCAAATATGAAGTTTTCGACTCTCTAAAAAAAAAACTCTAAAACTTCAAATTTGAAGTTTCATATTTTTATTTGCATTTTGGTCCTTACAATTATATATCATAGTTTATAAATCTTAAATATTTTATTGTTTATCATTTTAATCTTTATTTTTTTTACCTCATAAATATTTCAAAATTGTTTTAATAAATTTAAATTTTACACATAATTAATTTTTAAAAAAACATCAAGATAAGATTTCAAATATCTTAACACTAGAACTAGACAACAACAATATTATCAGATTTAATGTAGTATTTTGTTCGTAATTTAATATTTAATGTAATATTTAATTTATAGTTTTAGTGTAACATTTTATCAATTAATATTATTGTAATATTTTTATATATGTACTAATAATTTATAAAAATTCTATCAATTTTAATTAGTTATATAACTATAAGGACCATAGTATAAAATACAAATAGTTTTACAGTTGAGTTTGAAATTTTGATTTTAGAGCATAATAACTTTAAATTTTAAATATAGAGTTTTACAAACTATAAAATATAGAATTTTTTGGAAATGCTCTGAATGTCTAATTGCTTCCACTGGAAAATATTTACATCTAAGAGAAAAACTGACAGTTACATCTATTTTACGTTGAAGTTCTGCTTCTTCTAATTGTAAATATTTCATTAAAAATCATTTCTGTAGACAATAATTCAACAATTAATATATTTAGTAATTCCTCATGTATTCGACTTAAAGTAATAAGAAATTCATTCTTCTGAGCACTAAATATACAAACAGAGGCCAATGGAAGCACCTGCGCTGGTTGCCTCCACGTGAACATATTAATCATGATGGGCTTAGTATGGTATTTTCTTTAAAAAAGGTTTTTCATGTACTAGAATACAAAATGCAAGCACAAGTCTTGAGCTGCTTATGTGTCAATGACTATTTCCTTTTTTTTTAACACATAAACAGACTCAGTTCAGACAATAGTCCAAACACCATGCATGAAAAGATATGATAGTGTGTGATTCCACTAGTGTTTGTTAGTGTCTTGTATTATTATACGCAATCGTGAACCTCTCCACTGATACTTGTGTTGCAACGCAGGCAAAAAGCGTTTACGGTGCATTGCATGGCCTACAGGTTTGTGTTTATTATTTTGCCAACTTAGTTATTATTTTACGAAAGAGTAAAATTAGTTACTGAACAAAAAATAGAATTTATAAACGCAGACATTCAGCCAGTTATGCCATTTTAATATGAAGAAAAAGGTAATAGAGATTTTAATGGCTCCATGGAATATCACAGACCTGCCCAGATTCTCTTACCGTGGTCTTTTGATCGGTAAGCAAAAGTTTTCAGTTAAACGTTAGCAATATATAGTCAACTTGTTATAATATTGCAATATCGTCTCTTAATATGTGAAATGGATGACATATGAGACTTTGCTTGTTGCAACAGATACATCCCGACATTATTTACCACTACCTGTTATGAAGAACGTGATTGATTCAATGACATACACCAAGCTAGTAATAATAAGCTCTTCATTTTATTATTGAATTTGGTTGGTTTATGAATCTTATCACTTATAATAATAATAATAATACTGTGGTTGGTTTGGGTGTGTAGAATGTGCTTCATTGGCACATTGTGGACACACAGTCATTTCCATTAGAGATTCCTTCGTATCCAAAGCTATGGAATGGTGCTTATTCTCCCACTGAGAGATACACCTTCGAAGACGCTGCAGAGATCGTCAAGTAACGTTAATAAATGATAAATAATTAAACATTTATATATGACTACTGTTAGGAGTCTCATATCTGAACTACTTTTGTATGTAAATAAATAAACATAGTTATGCTCGGCGACGAGGGATTCATGTCTTGGCTGAGATTGATGTTCCAGGACACGCTCTCTCATGGTAATTATTTTTGGTTACACTTCTTCATTTTCAATTTCTTTATATTCAAATTTATTTTCGATGATAACAACTTTCATTCTAATAAATAAATAAATAGGGGAAAGGGATATCCTTCGTTGTGGCCCTCCAAGAATTGTCAAGAACCACTTGACGTGAGTAGTGACTTTACATTCAAGGTCATTGATGGCATTCTTTCTGGTACAATCATTAAAAACACTTTCTTTCAGCTCATCATATTTTTATATGCTTAGCCAAACTTTTTCTAATGGAATTATCTTTTTCAGATTTTAGCAAGATCTTTAAGTTTAAATTTGTCCACTTGGGAGGTGACGAAGTAAATACAAGTAACTAACGAAACTATCCTCTTTTTAACAAATACATTTCTTCTCTATCGTGTTTAGTTTCGTCCTGGAATATATATTGACTACATGTACTTTGTTGCAGCTTGCTGGTCTACAACACCTCGAATATCCAAATGGTAATGATACTTATTTATTTATAGACATTTTCTGATCATGTTAATTACTTAAACTATCTTAACCTACAGGCTAAAAAAACTGGTAATGATACTTATTTATTTATAGACATTTTCTGATCATGTTAATTACTTAAACTATCTTAACCTACAGGCTAAAAAAACATCGGAAGAGTGAAGCAGAAGCTTATGAATATTTTGTACTGCGGGCGCAAAAGATCGCTTTGTCACACGGATATGAAATCATCAACTGGTAATTTAACTATCCTTTTCATTAGACAGTTAAAAAAATGCTAAACAAGGTAACTTTACCTTAATTATATTACTACATTTTGCTCTAATGTTATATATACTGTAGGGAAGAAACCTTCAACAACTTTGGAAACAAATTAAACCCCAAAACGGTGGTCCACAACTGGTAAATACAAATTGTTACATTGAAAATACTTATCTTTTTTTTGGTAAAAACAATACTTATCTTTTTTTTTTACTTGGTGAATCAGGCTTGGTACAGGAGTTGTTGAGAAAGTGACAGCGGCTGGTTTAAGGTGCATAATGAGTAACCAAGACAAATGGTATCTGGACCATATAGACACACCGTGGCAAATGTTTTACGCAAACGAGCCACTTGAGAACATAAAAGATCAAAAGCAACAAAGTCTAGTTCTTGGTGGTGAAGTTTGCATGTGGGGTGAACATATCGATGCTTCTGACATTGAACAAACCATTTGGCCTCGTGCTGCTGCAGCTGCAGGTATATATATAAACCTTTAATTATAATTATACATCTTACAAAATAGTTTTTTTTTACATTTTGTATGCTACTTTTTGCTAAAAATATAATGGTGTTTGATAGAGCGGTTGTGGACACCATATACAAAGTTGGCTGAGAATCCAGACAAGGTAACTACGAGGTTGGCTCACTTTAGATGTTTGTTAAATGAGAGAGGAGTTGCAGCTGCACCTTTGGTTGGTGGAGGACGAGTCGTGCCTTTTGAACCAGGTTCATGTCTCGCTCAGTAACGCTCGAAATGGTTTAGATTGTAGAATATTGTTACAGTCAGCGGTATCGTGGCTTAGCACAAGCAACAGCCAACAATCAAGTGATATTCAAATATTAAAAATAGTTTATATATATTTTACGGTTTTACCTGGAGATCAAAATTAATATTTTTGTCTTTATTTCTCTATGTTGTAAGTTACAACTGATTCTTCAATATGTATTTCTTGTGATGAATCAATATTTTGTTGTTGTTTTGAAGAACACTTCCTCACCACTTCAACGTCTCTTTGACCTGCAACGGTAGATACATATTAGTAGCCCTCTGCCTTTAAAAGATTAGATTTATTTTGTGTTTCAAAAAAAAAAAAAAAAGGATTTTTAGAAAATGGCCATAAGTTAATAACCTTTCAGATAGAGAATTCTGAATGTAAAACCAACAAAACCATTGGAAATCAACTCCATCTAGAGAATCTATTTCTTGTGGATAAAAACAGAAATACAAAAGAACTTAACGTAGAGAGAGTGTATCAAATGTTTTTGACAAGACCGACACAAACAAGTTCTGGTTTCTCAAGTGGAGCTTTCTGTTTTCTGTTTCTTGGCCTTCTCAATCAGAGGTTTCAACTGTTTCTTCTCCGCAAGAAGCTTGAGGAAGTTGAACAAAAACGGAATGTAGTTGTGCTTCCTCCTAATGTTCTCCGTTCTCCATTTCATGAACTTCTCTTCCTCCATCACAATCTTATCACTCACAGCTTCTATCTCCCTCTTCACTTCACCAATCAACACCTCAACACCTCCTGCACCGCTTTTGTCCACACCAGCCAACTCCTGCAACAGCTGTTCCTTCTGCTTTTGAAGCTCCTTGAGTTCCGCCGTGTAAATATCCTTCCTGTTTTTAATGACAGCCAAAAGATTGAACCTGATCTCGCTCTGTGAGTACCTCTCGATCCTTTCTTGGATCACCGGTTGAACCAATTGCAGCCATTCGATACCACTCTGGTCCCCAGGGCAGGGACCAAGGCTGATGGGTCCTTCCTTGAGACCGTCAAGCTCGTACAAGACTCCATCCACAGGTATGTAGCTTATGAAATGGTAAACGTCATCGTCTTTTGTAGCAGTCTTCTGTTCCTCTGGGACAAAGGGTTCAGGCCTTGCGAAACTGTTGTGAGCAGTCCTTATCGCCTCGCTGTTGTTGATAGCCAAACCCTTGAGGTCAGATGGAAAGTTCTTGGTGAAATCTTTCAGCGTCGATAGTTCAGGACCGATGTCAACCTCGGGAGAGTTCAAGAGGATAGACAAGATCGCTTGGGTTGCACAAGCATTGTTAATGACCTATAGTGTATATAACGTTTAAGACTGAGGATGAATAAGAAAAAAGAAAATCATTTAGTCAATATGTTATTTATTATACAAAACCTGGCTTGCGAAAAAGAGGTTAGAAACTGGATCCTGGATTGTTGGACGATCATCTTTCACCCCAGCTTGCCATTTGAAAAGAAAGATCAAACCGTACACGGGTCTACAAGGCAGCCACAAGGTTGGAAAAACATATATTAGTAAGGGGATAGATCTAACATAAAGTTAAAAGTTTTATTAAAAAATAAGCAGAAACTTAAGGTGGAGCAATATAAGTGTAGATGTAACAAGTCTGACCTGAGGTTATTGAGAGAATCAAGATCAAGGGAGTACAATTCTTCAACCTACAGAACAAGAGTATGAATAATCAATCATAAACAAGTTGTAAAAGCTGACTAAAAGAAATCGTTTCAATAGTCAGTTTCATCTTTGACGATGCATTTGGACATCCAAAAGGAACGAGTAAAGATATTTGACAGAAAAAGACATTACATAGCAGAGACCGAAATAGCTACAGAAGATGAGTAAGATAATAAAACGAAAGTTGAAATCTTTTCTACGGGGTGAAGTTTACCAAACGCCACATTACACACATAGCAACTTACAGCAAGCAAGGAGAAAATATAATAAGACGAGACCTTGATAAAGTAAATAATTCTCCTATTACCTTACTCTAACTTCTTGTTCTTATACATGATGCAAGAATTTGTTTATTACCTGGACACCTTTGACTTGCATTTGTTGAATAAGCTCTGTAAACACACCTGTTGTTGTATACATGTATACAACAAATCAATTAGCAAACACACAAACACTCCACTATGGTAGATAAAAAAAAAAACTAAAGACAGTTCCTTGGGAGGATCTATATACCAAATACCAACACTAAAAAAAAACTCAAAAATCATAAAAAAGTTACAATCTGTTTCTTAAACCTCCAAAGCCTAACACTTTGAAACAGTAAATAAAGTATTTTCAAAGTTTGAGATAATCTTTGCATGTTTTAGTTAGTACCAAAGTCACACAACACACACACACACAGACCCGTTCAGATACTCACTAGAAACATAAATTCCAGAACTTTAGGATTTAACATCGAATTCAAGTTAGCGAGAAAATAGTAAACCCTAAACCCCAAACTTATCCATCCATCGCAAGAGAAGATGAAGAGGAGGAGACCGAAACGTTACCTGGATCCGACTCGATCGTGCACCAAGACATGATGAAAGGAGCAACGAACGCCTTTTCTTGAAGTAGAGAGAGACGGACTTTGGGATTTCTCGAGATCGAATCCGATTTGGGGATTTAGGGTTTTAAACTTCGGCTGATTTTCGCCAGATACTATTTTTCTTTTTTTGTTTTAAATACCTCTCTCCTTCTATCCGGGTTAGTCTTGGTTCCTGATTTTTTTTACTTTGGCAGTAACTTAAATTTATTTATTTTTCTTCTCGCGGCAACTTAATTTTTTTCCAATTATATGATTAAATGATGGTACAAATAAAAAAAAAACAAATTATAATAAAAATGAAAAATTTCTGGAGATTTTTTCAATAAAATATCAATTTATAACAATTTTTTGACGTTTTATTACATTGACTTTAGCTCAAATTAGAGCTGTACATACTCTTTCAGTATATAAGCTAATATATAATGATATAACCGTGAAAATTAAAATATAGAGCTACCAACTTTTAAGTTTCAACAATTGTAAGAACAGTATCATACAATAAACAAAATACATATTCCATTTACCGCGTGCATTTTAAGTGGTTCTTTCGCATTTGATTAGAAGTTTCCTCAAATAAGTTTTGTCTTCGCTTCAAGGATTGGAATCGAAGTCTCCCTTAAAAACATTACCGAAACCGTGATTTTGAAGATAAAAATTCATCTCACTAGGAAGTCTATTACGTTTTGGAATTACAACGATCTTTTAGGGCAAAAACGTTTGACACAGAAATAATATTATAGATAGACAAAAGCAGACAACTCCAAGCAAACTAATCCAAACTGTTTGCAATCTTTCTCTTCGTTTTAGTACACTCATCATAACTATTTTTCCAATCAATGCACGACGGGTTTCAAAGGATGAGCCCTCAGCTTCGAAAAATCCAGACTAGCATCAAGCTCCTCGTCCACCTCCCCAATAACACCTCTGATCAAAACATATAACACAGCTTTTATTAAAAAAAAAAATATCATCGATGCTGGATTAAGATGATAAATGTGAGGATGAGATAGATTTTTACATGTTGTCGCCTCTGATAATGTACAAACCCAACACATGTTGTTGTACTCCTTCCTGAAAATATCAAGACACAGTAAAACACGCCAACACATTAAGAAGAGTGAAAAAAAAACATGGTAATTTCAAAGTGACTTTGTTTGTGTCTGAATGAATCCAATAGACACAAATGAGTAAATTAATAGCAACTCTTTCGAGATCATCTGCCTTTTCTCCGTTTCCGAACATGGTTTAGACAGAAACAATATGTAAAATGAAAGATTTATCTACAAGCCAAAAAAGCTACACGTACGTTTTACGAATACTAATTCCCTCCCAAGAACATTGGCCTAGTGCAGTATTAACTAGCTTACGGTTTCTTGCAAATGAACTCACAATTTTCTCACTTAATCATAACAATTGACGAATCACTATACACTAGAACAAACATATTGTTCCACAAATGTAAAGCAAGAAATCAAATGACCAATACCAGATGAAGCAGGATGCTCTGACAAAGAACAAAGCTAAATTAGCACAAAAATATGGAGAGATTTCTTGCTTTAATTTGTCAAAAACAGATATCTGAAGCTTTACCTTTGTGGAGAAGACGCGTTCATGAGATTCATCCAAAATTATATTAGTAGCTTGGTCAAAACCTTTGAGAACTCCCTAATGAAAAAAGACAACAAGTGTTCAGTGTTTTTTTTGCTAAGTTACTTGCTTTTAAAATCAATATAGGAAAATAGACAGAGAGAGAATAATAACATACCACGATGTTGCGTCCATCATTGGTAATAACCGAAATAATCTCTGCAGCACCAACCCAAAAAGATTAAGATTTTTCAGATAAATGATGCGACAAAAGGAAAAAAAAAAAGACAACTTACGATCGACAAGAGATTCAAGTCCAGTAGTTGTCGCCATGCTTCAGTTCAAAGACCTGAAAGGTTACAAAGAAAGTTCAGCAGGAATTTCATCGAACACTTGGTGGGCGTAATTCGACCACCTTCCTTTCCGAAAAAGGTAATCTTAGAGGGGGAAGGAATCAAAGGAAAACGAATGTAAATCTGGTCGCATGGAATAATTAAAACGTAGGGTTCAAATATATTCAGGAAAACGAGAGAGAAAAGATTCGTCTACCTTTGCTGCTGCTTCTGAGTGAATCGTCTCAGTGTTAAAGCCCTAATTTAAACCCCTTTCGTTAGAAACACTCGGGCTTGTGTTTTCTTAGATTAAACCCGACCCGTACCATGCGTTGAACCTGGTGGTCCATATAAAATGGATACAAATGTAATTAGTAACTAGATCATAACCCCGCCCAACTGGGCGGGTCTTTATTTTTATGGTATATATAACATTTCAAAATTACAATTTAATGGTGTCAATTTTACTAAGTAATAGTATATTGTTTAAATATTGTATTTCATTATTGTATTGTGTAACAGAGACGTCTTAAAATATTGTGACCCGTAAACATTTTAGTAATATTTTATAAAGTTTTTTGACTAAATTTAGTGTAAAGTTATATACACTAAATAATTTAGTCAAATTTTTAATTTAATTTTTTAATGAAGAATTGGAAGGCTAGTATATTACAGTTAAAAACTTATAAGAATAGTCAATATAAATTATTTAAAGAAAATATATATTATTCTTGATTTATTCTAAATACATTTAAAACATGAATACATATATGTATAAATAATTTTTAGAAGTAGAATAATATCAATGATAGAAATTCCAAAAACAATAATAATGGTACCTTGAGCCGCAATAATCTTTGTATAATAAATAAGCCCATTAAATTTGTATGATATCCATGTTTCCAATCAAACTTTTAAAATTTTCTTATTCATGTTTCCAAACACTTTATTTTTGTACTTCAACTTTAATAGTATAGATTTGAAAGTCCAATAAAACCCAAGATAATATTTTTTCATTTTCGATATATTTTAAATAATATTTTTCTTTTTGTAAGACAAAAAACTGAATACATAAAACTGAATAAATTATTTAATTTTTATGATTTTTAAAATTTTTTTATAAAATTTTACTTTAAAGATATGAAAATAATGATGATAAAGAAAACAAAATTTATTGATATGATTAAGTATTATTTTATTTTCATTATCGATAATCTAGTATACCTTTGTTTTTCCTTTTATTTTAGAATTTAAAAAATATATTCTAGTAATCATTAGTTATTATTAACTTTTAGCTAGAACTATAATTTGGTAAAACAATTAGTCAATTAATTTGGAAAGAAATAAAAGTTTTAAATATTTTAAAACATCTTCTCTTTTTGTGTTGATTTATGTTTTCATTGTTTTTTTTTAACGCTTTTTATGTTTCATTGGTTGGAAAATTTTTATTCATACAAAATTTATTAATTTATTTATTTGTGGCTTAATTATTATGGTTGATCCAAAAGGTCCGATAACTTAAAAATAATTTGAATCTTGTTTGGAACAACTTTAAAAATATTGTCTAACTATTAATGAAATGAAAATAATTTTAGTTTTTTACATATTAATGATTAAAGTATTTATAAAACTGTCTTTTTATTAATGGTAAAATGAATAATGATACTAAACAAAGTATAAAATTAAAAAAAATTCCAACTGATAACCATCACATGGGCATTAAAAACAACTAATAACTGAACCTATAGAATTTTTTTATATATGATCATATTTAGTAAAGAGCAATATCATTCTATATGTCTTTATAGTAAAAACATGATAAAGAATGGAAAGAAAAAAAATTCTTTATAAATGGTAAAATAATTTAGGAACATTAGAAAATGCTTTATTTTCTTATTATTTTTTGTTCACTATTCATATCCTAACTAATATAGATTATGAGAAAGACTATAATAACATTTATAGAACTATTCATTTACAGCATTTTAATTTATATTTTTAAATCAATTTAAAATTTTAACTTTTTAAGTTACACAAACTATTCCGAATGGGGAACACTTATAAACAGATCTAAGAATTCAGAGCGAAATCGCTAGAGTCGGTGAGTTACTACTCATAAACCGATCTAAACTTCTTTATAATCTCTGTTTTAAATTTTCTCAGACCTTAAATCATAAACAGAAATTACATACTAACACGTAATTGAGTAACAAAGTATTGTTTTACTTCTTGTTACCAACATTTTCATCTCATTTCTTCGATAAGAAATACATCGAATACAGTAGTAAGTTTATAATAACCCAAAATGACTCTTGACTCGTTTTGGACCGCACATCCACTATATACACTCTCTCTCACACCTATCTCTTTCTCTCTCTCTCTCTCTCTCTCTCTCTTTCCCACACTACAGTTCCAAGGCCCTTTCGGACAGCGACGGAAACTGCTTCGGAGCGATTTTTAATTCCACTGAAAGCGAAGTGAGACATCTCTTTTCCTTATCTTTTTCCTCCTTCTCTCCACAGATATATTTTTGACCGCAAGTTTTGTTCTTCTTTTCTTGTCTCTTCCTCTGCAGTTTTGAGTCTTCCAATGCGTACCTGTAGCTCTAATGGTGTGTTAGACTAAACTTCGAGTTCTGAAAAAGTGTGGGGGTTTTTTAAAGGGGGTTTAAGGAGAAGGAAGGAGATGGAGAAAGAAGAGTTTGTCTTGCTAGACCTGAAGATTTATAGTTGGTGTAGTAGCTGGAAGTGAAAAGAAATCTGTACGGACAGGACAATTAGGGTTTTTTGCTAATTTCGGTTTTAAGTTTAAATTTGGGGATTGTCTGAAGGAAAAAACAGGTTTTTTTGGTCTGAAAAAACATGAATCTTTCATCATCTGGGTTTGGTCATCAAAGTCATGAAGGTAAAGTAAAAGTTGTCTCTTTGCTTTGCTTTTGTAATTAAACGTTTCAAGAGTTCATTTTTCATAACAACAGGAGAAAAGAAGTGTTTGAACTCAGAGCTATGGCATGCTTGTGCTGGACCATTGGTCTCTCTTCCATCATCTGGTAGCCGTGTTGTCTATTTCCCTCAAGGTCACAGTGAACAGGTTCTCTAATCTTTAAATTTTAATTCTGGATTTATTTTTTGTGTTTTTTTTTCCTCTTTTGAGATTTAATAATTGGAACTTGCAAACAAGTCACAAGCTAAGGAAAGCCTTTTTCTATTTATAGGTTGCTGCTACGACTAATAAGGAAGTTGAAGGTCACATACCCAATTATCCAACTCTACCACCACAACTAATATGCCAGCTCCATAATGTTACTATGCATGTGCGTAGTTTGTTAGTTCCCTGTCTTTTTCTCTCATTTACTCTCAAGTGGTTTTGTGTTCTGTTAAAGTATGGGTTTTTTTTTTTTTTATAGGCAGACGTGGAGACGGATGAGGTGTATGCTCAAATGGTACTTCAACCATTGACACAGGTAACATATAAATGGTTTTAGTATTTGTTACTGGAATCAGTTTGGTAAATGCAATGGCTGTTATTGATTTTAGGAGGAGCAGAAGGATACGTTTGTACCGATTGAGTTGGGAATCCCAAGTAAGCAACCTAGCAATTACTTCTGCAAGACGCTCACAGCTAGTGATACTAGTACACACGGAGGGTTTTCTGTACCTAGACGCGCTGCTGAGAAAGTCTTTCCTCCATTGGTGGGTAGTGGGTACTTATAATTAGCATAGTGGCTAATACTAATACTGTGAGATGTGTTCTGAGATGTCTCGCCTCTTTTTTCCTTGCTGCAGGATTACACACAGCAGCCACCAGCACAAGAGCTGATTGCAAAGGATCTCCATGACAATGAATGGAAGTTTAGGCATATCTTTCGGGGTAGGTTTCACCTTTCTTCTTTGAGTTGATCCTCTTAACTACTTATAGTTTCGTTGTCTGGTTGGTTGCAATCCTTGGCGCTGTGTAGATACTGGCTATGCTCATTTTTTGGCTATTAAAGTAAGATCTTAGAAAAACTTTCATCTTGTGTGTTGCAGGACAGCCCAAACGGCATCTGCTTACTACCGGATGGAGTGTCTTTGTCAGTGCCAAGCGACTCGTAACGGGAGACTCTGTCATATTCATAAGGTCTTACTCTTCCGTTGTTCTCTCTTTCTAATTCATGATTATTACAAATATTAACTTTATTTCCTGCCTTTTAGGAATGAAAGGAATCAACTCCTTTTGGGGATTCGTCATGCCAGTCGGCCACAAACTATTGTACCATCGTCTATGTTATCTAGTGATAGCATGCATATTGGACTCCTCGCTGCAGCTGCTCATGCGGCTGCGACTAATAGCTGTTTCACAGTGTTCTATCATCCAAGGTTGAAAAACTGCTTCTTCCTCTCTCAATTTTCTTAAAATGCCTACACTGACGACATTCTCTTTATGCTCATCAGGTCTAGCTCATCTGAGTTTGTGCTACCACTTCCCAAGTACATTAAAGCTGTTTTTCACACGCGTATTTCAGTCGGCATGCGCTTTCGTATGCTCTTTGAGACAGAAGAGTCAAGTGTTAGAAGGTAAAGTCACTTTGAAATGCAATTTTTAACTTTTTTTTTTGCTTCTGCCACTGAGAAAAAAGTATCATTTTTGTCACACTAGCGTCAACTGTTTCCAATACTAACAGTGACGTGGCATTTTTTAGGTACATGGGTACTATAACTGGCATTGGTGATTTGGATTCTGTACTTTGGCCGAACTCTCACTGGCGGTCTGTGAAGGTAAAATCATGTTTAGACACTTAGGTTTATAAGAAGAAACCATTATATGCAATAATCTGATTCCTCCATCTTGTTTTAAAAATAAATATTATATTCTGTTTGTGCTTGGGATTTACTATTTAGCCATCTTAGTTTTTGATACATGTTTAGAGAATGCATGAACGCCTAATAATTGTAAAAGTGTTTGCCTTCAAGCTGAGAGCTCTTTCTAAAAATCCACTTAAGATGTAGATATTATTTGACGTAGGTTGGTTGGGATGAGTCGACCGCTGGAGAAAGACAGGCAAGGGCTTCTTTATGGGAGATTGAACCTCTTACCACTTTTCCCATGTATCCATCACTCTTTCCTCTCAGGTTAAAGCGTCCTTGGCATCCGGGTGCTTCGTCATTTCAAGGTATCCACCATTGGCTCATGGATCTGTTTCCCTTTTTACTCAAAACATGCAGGATATTAGACAATGATTCGACTAACTATTTGATCTGATATTAGTTGAAACTTAAAAAGGAAACTATTCATTTAATGTATTATGAGCGAAGTTGTAGATGGTAAGCCTATCTTTCTACATATGGAAGTGTTGCATGCAAATAGTGATACAGGTGTGAAATTGTTAGTTGTGAGTGTGCTAGGGTTCTAGATTCTTATGTCAGGTTAGCTTTATGAGAGCCTTGGGTTGTGTATCGACTTTTCACTGGGGTTTTAGCTCATAAATGCAGGTACGTTACTTGTTTGTGTTACTTCACTCGACTCTAACACGTTGATTCTCACTCATTGACAAGAATTGTAAAATGTTGCTAAAAACAGTGTTTTTAATGTAAGTAGATGAAATTTGTGTGACCCTTAGCATGACTAGCTCTCGTAGATAGACATTATCGTTTTGTTTTGTTCCTTGAAACTGTACAATCATTGTTCTGGTGTTTCTAGTTTATATTCCCCCATTGGCCGCGTAGCAACTAGGTGTTCATGCTAATTTGAATGAGGTATCTTCTCTTTTTTTTGAAGTTATATGAGAAGCCCTTTAGTGATATCACCTCTGATATTAAAGTAGCTATATTTTAGGGGAAAACTGTTCACTCTTTTTAGGTAGTTTACATAACTCATATGTAATGTTACAGATAGCAGAGGTGACCTAACATGGCTTAGAGGTGGCGCTGGAGAGAATGCACTGCTTCCCTTAAACTATCCGCCTGCTAATGTATTCCCATGGATGCAACAGAGGCTCGATCTCAGTCAACTAGGATCTGATCAGAACCAGCAGTACCAAGCAATGTTGGCAGCCGGTTTGCAAAACTTCGGAGGTGTTGGTGATCCTCTGAGACAGCAGTTTGTCCAGCTCCAAGAGCCAAACCACCACCAATATCTTCAACAACAATCAGCTGCCATCCACAATTCCGATTTGCAGCAACATCACCAAGCACCATCACAGCAGCAAATCCCACGTCATCTTCTGCAGGCTCAGACGCAGATTCTGACTGAGAACCTTCCTCAGCAGAATATGCGGCAAGAAGTTAGCAACCAAGTAGCTGAGCAGCAGCCACAACAACTAGACCGTGTGTGGCAGCATTCTGATTTGCTTTCACCTTCTTTCATGAAATCAGATTTTACCAACAAATTCACATCAGCAGCTAATCCATCAGTACAGCAACAAAACTTGACCACCCTTCAGGGATCTGGAGATAGTAGCAACTTGTTGAATTTCTCTATAACTGAGCAGTTACCGAGACAGGATTGGTCTCTAAAACACTCTGATCTTGAAACCAACTATTTCTCTGAGCCATTGTCGCTTGGACAAGGCTACGGTAGAGCAAGTCCATCTCTGGAACCTCCAAACCTCTCACTATTTGGTGTTGATTCGGATTCTGGACTTTTCCTCCCAACCACGGTTCCTCGTTTTGGTAATCTGTCAGCAGATGCTGATACCTCCTCAATGCCACTGACAGATTCTGGATTTCAGAACACATTGCAAGAAACTCCCGATGGGGTTGAACACACAAGGAACTTTGTTAAGGTGCTGTGTTTTTGTTAAGGTAATGTTACATCCATTCTTTTGTTTTTATGCAACATTAGTATTTATGTTTCAGGTTTATAAATCTGGATCGGTGGGGAGATCACTGGACATATCAAGGTTCAGCAGCTATCAAGAGCTGAGAGAAGAGTTGGGTAAAATGTTTGACATCAAAGGGTTGTTGGAAGACGCCTTTAGATCAGGCTGGCAGCTTGTATTCGTGGACAAGGAGGATGATATTCTTCTTCTCGGCGATGATCCTTGGGAGTTAGTCCACTTTCTCTTCATTAATATCTTCTAAGGTTTTGGAATTATGAAAACTGTGATTTGAAAAATGGGTGGAAATTTATGCAGGTCATTTGTGAATAGCGTTTGGTACATAAAGATACTGTCGCCAGATGATGTGCACAAAATGGGTGAACATGGGGAAGGATCGTCCTTCCCACAGAACCTGTCCCATTTCTGATAAATCTCATCTCTTTCGGGGGGCATCATCATCTCTTTCCCCCTTGGTTATCTGTTTAATGTCTGTATGAATTGTATCATTTGGCAAGTTGACTCTTAGAAACTTAAAGACATTTGTCTCGACGCAATGTCTTAAACTAAAACATGTTCCTTTGCTAGTCTTTATCAACTTGTTGTAATAATTATACTCTTCCCTTGTTATGTGATAATGCCCCTTTGTTATTCTTTGTAGAGATTTATAACATAGTCTAGTTATCAAGCTACTGCTCTACAACGTATATCCGGCCTCATATGAAAATAATAAAAGATGAATGCAACTTTTTTTGGTTCACATTAATCACAATGGTGTCAATTGCGGATATGAAATTATAGTATTTGAAAGCGAAATCATGTAGAGGAACTCTGAACGAACTGATGTTCTTGGAGATGATTCAGGTATAAAATGGCGTGAGACAACGCTACAATCAAACTAATATGTAGAGAAGGACTTAAAGAATCTGATTACAACATAACAAGAAATTGTTACCAGGCTGATCACAGATTGACTAGAGCAATAGTTAAAAGAGGATAGATCTACAAAGCACTAAGGATTACCTAATTGTTTCTCCTCCAAAATTTACAAACGGTATGCTCTAGACATAAGCAAATAACAACTAACCAATAAAAACCAATACATATCCTAGAACAAGAGTTGAGGAGAATGTGAAAGTGCAGAATGCACTAGAGATTGCCAAAATATTTCTCTTCAAGCATGACAATCTTTCACATAACTAAACTATGATAAGCAATAAGAAAAGGAGTTCTCGAACAGAAACCAAAAGACCTTATATGATCAAACCATTAAGTAAATCAGCTCCACATTGGTGTCAAGATAGTGAATTAAATTACCAGAGCTACATAAATATCACACTTTATATTAAAAATATCCACAACACAAATCATAAAGCACTGACAATATCTCATCAGTACATATTAGCTTAGCTTATAGATAAAATCCATAAAACACTCTGGAAATTAAACTGATACCCAACGGAACATAGATAAAGACAATAATAACGTAATACGCAGAAACTGAATTCAAATGATTTCTTTTTAAGCAGCTCCCTTGACAACAGGATCAGGGATCTTAACGTAACCGAACTTCTTCAAGCTAGCTTCATCAGACTCCTCGTTCTCGTAATCATCTTCTTCCTCCTCATCGAAACCATATCCGCGACGATTCACAACCAGAGCCCAAACAAGATACATAGTCGCCGCGGTCAAGGCACCACACCCGACTCCGAACAAGAGAGCCATCACGACGCTCAAGATATCTCTCGTGCGATCCTTGACGTTCTCGGAGAGGAAAGGGAAAGATAGCTGAGGACGACGATCCGAGACCTCTCGGATCTGGGGAGGGAGGAGTCCGTGGCGGCGATTGACGAAGAAAGGGACGATCGGGTTGGGGTTGAGGCGGCGGATTGTGAAGATTGTGACGAATTGGGATTGGGAGGAGAGGTTAGGGTTTTCTGGGGTTATGGAGAGGGAGTAGGAGGAGATTAGGAAGGTTTTGCAGGGGCGTGCGGAGGTGATTGAGAGGGAAGAGATGGTGATTGCGAGGAGGAGGAGGAGGTAAGAGGAAGAGGACGCCATTGTTAGGGTTGTGTGTATCGTTCTTTGACTTCTTCTTCTTCTTCTTTTTCCTGCTTTGAATTAAAAGAGACGATCTACGGTGAATGAGATTATTAAAAAAAAGGGCCACGTTGGATTTGTTTTTCTCTTTTCTTTTCCTTTCTTTCTTAAATTCGATAAACATGTAGAAATATATAGTTTTAGGATTTAGTCTATATTTTTTTAATGTTGTAGCTGTATGTTATTTTGTTATAGAAAAATATTATAATTTCTAAAACACTTTAATAATTACTTTTTTTTAAAGTAAAATTTATGGTTATATTTATAGATGATGTTACAAGGTTTTAATTTAAAAAATAAAGTTACATCATAATTGGTTAAGATTGATGATTTAAAATAAAATAAAAGAAAGTTTTAAAGTAAAGTCTAACAAATCACCTTTAATCCAAACTAATTTGTTGGGTCCAAATTTAGAGAAAATACCTATTTTTATCCAAATAATTTTAATCATGTCAAATACAATTCGAATAAATTATCAGTGTCAAATATAACCTAAACTATTTTATCATTCAAAAAAACTATATGAACTTCTTTAAACCTACATTAACCGTAACAAAAGTTAGTTGATTGCAATAAAAATTAGTTAACCGTTAAAATGACAAAATGATGTCATTTTAATTTCAGAAAATATGCATATTTTTGGGACCAGAACCTGACGTATTTTAAATGGATACATTAACCACTAGAATAAAACAATTTTTTAAAATAATTTTACAAATTTACAATTTATAAATGCTACTATACTTTTCATCATTTCTAATTAGGATTTTGGTTATTATTATTTTTGATTCTTATAAATATATTAATGATTTAATGAAATAAAATTAAAGTTTTAAGCTAAAGTCTAACCAATCACCTTTAATCCAAACTGATTTGTTGGGTTCAAATCTACTATCGAAGTTGGATCACAAGAAGACGGACTACGGAGTACTCAGATAGACCTAGAGCTGGGAATATGAGTGATCACCCGCGGGTCCCGCCCCGTTTGACCCGCTGCGGGGCGGGTGCGGGTTGAACAATTTGAAAAAAACGATTGGCGGGTGCGGGTGCGGGTTTTGAGTATTTTATGCGGGGCGGGTGCGGGTTGGTGAATTTTTAATCGCGGGTACCCGCCAACCCGCAAAAAAAAAAAATTTTCATTTTTTTTTTTAAATTGTGTTTTTTTTTGTTAGAAAATAGTATTTTTTTGGAAAAATAAATATATTTTTTAAAAAATTACGGTATTTTTTTAAATAATAGTTAAAAAATTTGAATATATATAATTTTTTTTTTAAATATATTATTTTTATTACTTTTTCATAAAAAATAAATTAAATAATAATTTTTTTTTTAAGATATATAACCCGCGGGTCCCGCGGGTTACCCGCAAAATTAAGCGGGGCGGGTGCGGGTGAAAATTTATACGGTCGCGGGTTGTGCGGGTCGGATTTTTTAACAAAAAAAATAACTAAAATCCGCGGGTTGGCGGGTCAGCGGGGCGGGTTTGACCCGCAACCCAGCCCTTCATAGACCCAAGTATGGTTTTAAAGAGATTGTGGAACGTCAAGGAAAGATGGGGTCTCAAAGAAAACAGAGAGTGCGAAGCCCAAAGTCGATTTTAGGTTAAGACTTGGTGTCGAGGCAAACCTGAAATCCCAAGATTCGCAGTAACATGTGGAAGGATGAGAGTTTGCACACTAGGAGTCTAGGATGATAGAAGAAACTGAAGTAGGAGTAAGTGACACGTTAACACACGCATAATAGACATTTAACCCTCCCGCCTAAACACATTGGCATCTCTTTTGTTTTTTTTTGTTTTTTTTACCTCTCTTTTGTTTATCTTTTTATTTCCTCTGTATTAATCTATTTGTCATTTAGCGGAAACTTGTCATTTTATAATTTTAAAATAAAATTTATTAATTTTATATTTTATTTTATTTTTCTATTGGTTAAAATATGATTAGATTTATTGACAATTATATTTTATATAGAAAATATACAAAATTAAATATTTTTATAATTTATATACACAAACCTAAAAAGATAAATATAAAATGAAACGTATGGAGTATCTAATTTACATTATTGTCAGCATTATCTCTAACTCATAACGTTAATATCAGTCTATTTTTATCAATGTATACTTGATTACGTCCTTGTTATTTTTGGAGTTTGCATACAACTTTTCTTCTGTTTTATGTATAAAACATACAACTCTCAAATAATTTTAGAATGTTTTTGTTGAAATTTGACAATGTCACATACGAGATTTATTTCTACTATAAAACTGACTTTTCAAAAAATTATTAAAGAGTTATTTTATTTTGAGATTCGAAATCTTCTAAAGTCATCATGTTTATACGAGGACTACTAGTTTTAAAAATAAGCCAAAATACAAAACCGGATCAAATAGTCGAAAATGTTGAACCGGATCATATACCTCCAAGAAAAAAGACGTGGGTACAGACAAAATCCCTGAGAAAAATGAGTATTTGACTTGACTCTATAAATATAGAATGTGAAAACTAATTCATCACACTCACACATGTAACAGAGAATCAGTTTTCGATCTCCTTCTTAACCGCCACTTTTCTCTCCTCAGATTCTCTTTTAAAAACAAACCAAACACCCTCCTCTCCCTCTCTAGGCTCACAGATCCGAGTTATCATGGAGGTAGAACGAGCCAAGAAAGACGACGATCTCAACTCCACAGACGGAGGAGTCGGAGTCGGAGGAGGAGGATCCGCCGCTGAAGAAGTCTCCGTCGAGAGAATCTTCGAAGAGAGCGCCGATCCTCCTCCTCCGTGGCAGAACCAGCTCACGTTCAGAGCGATGATCGTGAGTTTCATCCTCTCGATTCTCTTCACGTTCGTCGTGATGAAGCTGAATCTAACGACCGGGATCATCCCGTCGCTTAACATCTCCGCGGGGCTGCTGAGTTTCTTCTTCGTGAAGACGTGGACGAAGATACTTAACAAGGCGGGGATTCTTAAACAGGCGTTCACGAGGCAGGAGAATACTGTTATTCAAACGTGCGTCGTTGCTTCCTCTGGGATTGCCTTTAGCGGTAACGATTTTCTTTTTTCTCCGATCAAACTCTGTTTTGTTATTTTTTTTAAAAAAAGATTGAAATTGATAGTTTTGCTTAGGTGAGTAGATAAAGTTGGAATCTAATGTTTTTTTTTGGAAAATATGTGACGAGGACGCGTCAGCTGAATCGTAACTGATTCCAACACGCTCCTGTCATCGTCTATATCGTTTTAACCTTTTGTGGCTCTGTGAAAAAGACAGATTTTATACTTTTTTATTTATTCTTAAATTAATTAATAAGTCACTTAAATTTTAGTAGATCCGAATTTTACTTTAAAATTTCCAATTTAAATAATAACTATATTTTGATCGGCATTTTAAAATATGATGAATATTTTTTTGTTAATAGTTAACAACCATTTTATTAATTTGAAAACTGTGTATTTAAAATATTTTAACATTTAAATCAATGTTTTTAAATTCAATTCGAATCCGCAGTTTAATTGGTTAATTCAGTGATTCGATAATTATATTTAAATTTTTAAAAATATATTTATTTAAAATCCACTAAACAATTATTAAAAAGATAAAAACTAATATTTTATATTGTTTGGACATAAAATTAATTATAATATTGTTTGGAAACCTTGATATATAAAGACATGAATATATTGTTTGGAAACATGACTAATAGTATAAAAAAATATTAGTGATTTAATATAAGTTTAACTTTAAAGTAGGAAGATGTATTTAATTTAAAAACTTAAAAAAAAAAAGTTAGGTCCAATGTTTTAATAAAATATATATTTTATATATTATATCATACTAGTTATATATGTATTTAGTTTAACATTTTGTTACTAAAATAAGTGAATAGTATTTACAGCTGTTTATAATAGCACATTAAATTTAGTATGATATTGTGATTTCATACTGCTAAATAGTGTATTTTTTGTGTTTAGTAGAAAAGGGTTTGTGAAAAGTAATAGTCTATTAAACAAAGTTCAGTGTTTGGTAGAAAATGACCTAAGTGAAGCCATGACTTTCCTAGTAAAACAATTATTTGTTAGTCTCACGTGATTCGTTCTCTTATAGATCTTGAATTATCTAATAGGAGTTGACTTGCTTTGCCCCACCACCATGTGTAGCAAATGGTACATGGAGTGACGTAAAATGGGCTTAGATGTACACACGTGATCCTTAATTTCAATTAAGCAAAAGGATTAGATCACTAATAAGTAGATATGATGGGAAAGTTATATGATTATTTATTAGATTTTACTTTGGTTTTTAACTAAAGTAACTAATCCACATCTAAAACATTAATTATTCAACAGTAGATCTTAATAAATAATGTAATTTTATCACACAAATTTTTGTAGAGTTTAGTTATACATTTCATGTGCATTCGTGTTGAACAGTAAAATTTTATTTACTTGATGAAAATTGTGAATGATGAATACATGAGGATCTCATTTTCTAATACTATGTTCTTACTGTGAGTTTTTTAGATCCGAAATTGTTAAATTGTGATTATAAATTTAAAATCCATATAATACCAAGTCAACTGTGCACCATGTGTGTCAAATGGGAACATGGAGTAACGTAGAGCTGGCTAAATGTACACACATGATCTTTAATTTAAACTAATCAAATGGATCAGATCAATGATTAAGTAGATGGGATTTGAGTTATGAATAGATTTGAGAATCAATGATTAAGTAGATGGGATTTACATTTAATCATATTCACATGAAATGAAACAACGACGTTAATTTTTCAATAATAGATCCTAATGCTAAATAAAAACCCTCCTGTATGAATGAAATTTCAAGTAATACACTCGTAATGCTCAATAGTTCAAAGATTTAGCTCTGTCATGATGTGAGATATTAGGATCCTCTGATTTGTGTAATTGTTATCATAATATGTATGTGAAGATCATCAACTCAACGCTGATTGTTCGGTTTGATTTGATATTTGTTAACAGGAGGGTTTGGTAGTTATCTCTTTGGGATGAGTGAGATTGTTGCTAAACAATCAGCTGAAGCTAATACTCCTCTCAACATAAAGAATCCTCATTTGGGTTGGATGATTGGATTTCTCTTTATTGTTAGCTTCCTTGGTCTTTTCTCTGTCGTTCCCCTTCGAAAGGTGCGTCCTTAATTACATCTCTGGTCACATTTGTGTAACAAAAAGTCTTTATCTACTAAAATTTTGTTTTCAGATCATGATAGTGGACTTTAAATTGACATATCCTAGTGGTACTGCAACTGCTCATCTCATCAACAGCTTCCACACACCTCAGGGTGCCAAGCTCGCAAAGTAAGAATCTTTGGTCATGCTCCTCAATGTTACTACGAGGTTCTCTTGTCTGAATATTGATCACTTTCTTGTCGAATAACACAGGAAGCAAGTGAGAGCATTGGGAAAGTTCTTCTCATTCAGCTTCGTGTGGGGTTTCTTCCAATGGTTCTTTACTTCTGGTGACGGCTGTGGATTTGCTAACTTCCCTACATTTGGTCTCGAAGCCTATGAGAACAAGTACGTTAACTTTTCACAATTGTCTACTTACGACTTCATCTAAATTCTTATTATCTGTGAATTATCAAAACAGGTTCTACTTTGATTTCTCGGCTACATACGTTGGTGTTGGAATGATATGTCCATATCTAATCAATGTGTCGCTTCTCGTTGGATCAATACTATCATGGGGTGTTATGTGGCCTCTCATAGGTGCCCAAAAAGGCAAATGGTACTCTTCCGATCTTTCTTCAACTAGTCTCCACGGTCTTCAGGGCTACAAGGTGTTTATAGCCATAGCTATGATCCTCGGAGATGGTCTCTACAACTTCATCAAAGTCCTAGGCCGCACTGTCGTCGGTCTATACATACAATTCAAGAACAGAGATGCACTTCCCGTAAACGACCGGTCATCACCAACCACCGTGACCATCTCTTACGACGACAAACGAAGAACAGAGCTTTTCCTCAAAGACAGAATCCCATCATGGATCGCTATAACCGGTTACGTAGTCATGGCCATAGTCTCAATCATCGCAGTTCCACACATCTTCCCTCAGCTCAAATGGTACCACATCTTGACCATGTACATAATCGCTCCCGTCCTAGCCTTCTGTAACGCCTACGGTTGCGGACTCACCGACTGGTCCTTAGCTTCTACTTACGGCAAACTCGCCATTTTCACCATCGGAGCTTGGGCTGGTGCAGCCAACGGAGGGGTCTTAGCCGGACTCGCGGCTTGTGGTGTCATGATGAACATTGTCTCCACCGCTTCTGATCTCATGCAAGACTTCAAAACCGGTTACATGACACTAGCTTCACCGAGATCAATGTTCTTGAGCCAAGCCATTGGAACAGCGATGGGCTGCGTCATCTCTCCTTGCGTCTTCTGGCTATTCTACAAGGCCTTCCCTGACTTTGGCCAAACCGGGACCGCATATCCCGCACCTTACGCCTTAGTCTACAGAAACATGTCGATACTCGGAGTAGAAGGGTTCTCTGCTTTGCCCCAACACTGCCTCATGCTCTGTTACATATTCTTCGCAGCAGCAGTGTTTGTGAACGGTATAAGGGATGCCGTGGGGCCTAACTGGTCTCGATTCATCCCTCTCCCGATGGCTATGGCAATACCGTTTTACATCGGAGGTTACTTCACGATCGATATGTGCGTGGGAAGTCTCATTCTGTTCTTGTGGAGGAAGCTGAATAGACCAAAGGCTGATGCTTACTCTTCAGCTGTTGCTTCGGGTTTGATATGTGGTGAAGGGATATGGACATTACCAAGCTCTGTACTTGCTTTAGCTGGTATTAAGCCTCCTATCTGCATGAAGTTCTTGTCTGGCGCTACCAATGTTAAGGTTGATTCTTTCTTAAACCCTTCTTAACTGTTGTTTCTTTTCGTTTGTTGTTTTTAGAGTTACGGTTTTCTATGTTTCTTTGTCTATCTCTCTTAGTTTTAACTTCATTTCTACTCAATTATGTATAAAAAGATGAACGAACTATTGGTTTTCTGGTTGTTATCTTCTTAATACTACTCCAAAACTGATACGAACAGAATCTAAGGCTGATGTAATCGTTTTAAAACATTATTATTTGAGTCAAAAACTGATACAGATTACAGAAGTTGCATTCTATATGCCACCAAAAAGACTTTGTACATATTCAGACCAAAAAAACAGCAAAGACAAATATGGTCCTCATAGGAGGAAACCATGTCACAGAGTAAGTTTGGAAGAAAGAAGAAGGCTTAACCGGTCTATTTCGATATCCTCTTCTTCTTTTTCATCTTCCATTGAATCACTACACGCGACAAAAGAACCAGTGAGACTTTGATCACATCTTAAAACAAGTGTGCACATATAAACTTACTTGGGTTGTTCACAAATCATCATTTCATCCGCAAGGTTGAGTGACTCAAATGTCTCTTCCATAACGTCGCTTGAACAAACCACCGAGCTAATATTTCCATTTCCATTTGTAGACTCTAAAGACCATCTCAAGGGTACAACTATGTCCCTGTATCAATGATAAGGAATCAGTTTTTGAGTTGTTAGGAGGAACGTTATGTCAGATAACTGTCACTTACCCACTGAGACATCTGGCTCTGCACTTCTCCACCTCGTCTCCTGTATATTTCATATGGTGTACGTTTAGCCTTTTCACAGCTTCAGGAGCATCAGATGATGTCACAACATCGCGTATCTTCAGAACTTGGATATATTCAAACTCTTCCTTGACAATTTCTACAGCCCAAATGAGCCTCAAAACATCGTCTATCTTGCTTTGCTTTATCAAACTAGCTCTCTCTGACTCTTCTTCTTCTTCATGCAGCCAACCCTGTGATATCTTTTCTAAGAAACTCTTGATTTTCCTTATCATCTCCGGGTTCTTAATCTCTCCCACAGATTTCTTGAACTGGTCGCAGAAACAAATCTGTTGAAACATGCAAAACAGAGTCAGTCTAAAAGAACAAAAACCTAAAAAGAGCACAAAGCAATGTTCATCCATCACCTTCCATCTTGATTTGTCATTAAGCTGGATAAACTCTACTTTCGCAGTATCAGTAAGAGCATGAGCTAATGACTCGTCTTCTTCAGCGTTATGGAAACAGTCACGCTTTCTTGCGTCTTGTATCAGATATCTCCACACAGACTTGCTATTCATCATAGTTGCCTCGTTTCCAAGTATCCATAAACAGAACCTTGCCCGAGTGAGTAGCACATTTGTTCTTCGTCTGTCTGTAAGAAACCCAACTCTTCCAATACCGTTGGATCTAACAGTTGAAACTATGATTATATCCTCTTCACCTCCTTGAAACCCATCCACAGACCGAACCTTCAACGAAAACAGTCCTCCTGCATCACCCCTACATGTCTCCTGAATCTTTTCTTGGATTGCGAGTACTTGAGACTTATAAGGTGAAATGACACCAACGCTTATGCGTGTCTTTGTTCTCTCCGAAACTGCATTCAAACATAAAAAGCTAGCTTCAGAGAGAGAACTTCATTTCATAGACTTTAAAAAGCAAAAAGATAGTTCACCTTGGAGAAGGTTAGCTATTATATCCGAGACAACAGCAACCTCAGCGTTGTTTTTCAGACTACGTCCTTCACCATATTGTTCTTCACCATGTGGTATGTTGATGAAAGAGTAGGGACCATACATTTTTCCAGGAAGATATTGTTTCGTGTACTTTCTTTGTTTAACCGTTGGAGCATCTTGAATCTGCATTCCATAGAACTCTCTGTTTGGGAAGATACTTATCGATGGATGCATCCTGTATTGGATGTTTAGCAAGTACTTCTTATGTTTAAGTATGGCCAACCTCTCAAAGAGACTTCTCCCAAATCCTGCCTCCAAAGCAATCTGTATAGTGTTGTTTCAAGTAAATGTTAGTTATAGGAGAAATGGAGAATGCACAAGCTGAGGAGGGAGCATGCATACCTGGCTTTCGACCATTGCAGGAAGTTGTTTCTCATCTCCAATCAGAATTGAATGCTGGATTCCTGGAAGCAGCAGAGGAATGGCTGTTTCACATTCTTTTAACTGAGCAGCTTCGTCGATCACAAGAAGGTGTATTGGTAATCCAGTGTATAACCTTGCAGAGCATGATGCTGTAGAGAACAGCAGACAAGCGTGTCCCAAGCAAAGCTCTTTAATAAGATGCCTATCACTAACACCTGGAAGTGTGAAAATTTCAGGAATCAATCTCAACAGCTTTAGATAATAATCTTCCACTGTCATCACGTGTTGTCTGCTGCATCTGTCACTACTAACAACGAGGATTGATTTTAGTCCTTCACCACTCCCACCATCTGGTACAGCTGAAACTGTAGCATCTTTGACAAGGTCAATAGATTCATACATACGTGATGCAGCTTGCGATGAGAGCAAAGCAGTAGGCAAATGTGTGCATAAACTTAAGAAAGCAAGCTCCAGGTCTTTCCTAAGATCACTGAATCTCTCTGGTAGATACTCCTGAAATGATTTAGAAACAACTTGTTCCAATATGTTCTGGTCATTTCCTTTGCTTTTCACATTGTTAACACGCGCAAGATTCTCCAAGTACTGATTATACTGTCCTTGCGGGTCCTCGAGTAAACGTATCATGGAATTGATAGAAGCTTTCCATCCGTAAAACGGCATGAAACATGGGTAAAGCTTATCAACACGTTCATCAATGAAGAAGTCAATAAGATCTTTCCTCTCTTTGATCTTCATCCTCTCCCCATTCCCAAACAAAACCACATCTCCAAGACCGTAGTTACCAATCTTTAACGACTTAGAGACTAGTTTCACAACTCTTGACGCCACTTCAATAACAGAAACATTCGTTGGAGTACAAGTCAAAGTTCTACATTTCGCATTTAGAAGCGTGAAAAGCATCACACTCGTCGTCTTGGTCTTCCCTGTCCCTGGTGGACCCCAAATCAGTTTGATGGTATTCGCATGGTGGCATCTTCTAACATCCAAACAGCTCAATATTGCATCTTCCTGTGAAGGATTCAGATTCAAGAAACGATGAGGGACAAGACCATCACTTTCGCCAAGTCTACAGGGAATGCAAACTCCATCATCATCATCATCACTCTTTCTCTGTAGGACTGTTGAGAGAAGATTCAAGTTCCCACCTTGTAAACCAAGATGCAGTGAGTTCCAGATACGAACGTTAGTGGTAATATTAGTCATATAAACACCAAAAAGACTTTCTTTCTTCTCGTTCTTGTTTCTTTGATAAACATCGTCAAGCAAAAGTGGTTTTGAAGCCAAGATAGTGACGACATTAGGCCTGTCTGGATCTGCTTTACACACTATAGCAGTCACATAAGGTTCATTGGTAACGTTGAAGCCCCCATCAACACGGTTAGGCCTTTTATCTGTAAGAGCAATGAGATCCTTTGGTATCAGTGACTCGTCATTACTCAAATGCACTTTATAGAACAAGTTATTAGGAAGCTCGAATTCTGGAGTTGGGACAATGTAGCTTATTTCAACCACAGGGGACCGCCACAATGTCTTTATACACGATTGTAAAGCAGCATGTGTTTCTTCTATAAGTGGAGGAATAAAGGAGTTGAAGTAGTCTGTTGCTGAGTTGAACTCAGAAGGAATCGTTCCCACCTGTTGAAAGCAAATCAAATACAGAACATCAAGCAAATCAGATTGTCTCTTGTGTCTTAAAATAGACAAGAAGAAAAGGGAATTGAAAAAAAAAACAGAACCTGTCCTTTATAAAGATCAACATTGAGTACTTCTTCAAGAGACCAAGATAGCACGAGATCGATCAAGTCTCTTCCTTCAATACGCATTTTTGCTAACTCTGAAAAATTAAAAGGAAAGAAAGAATTTATTTTTTTAAAACCCTAATCACTTAAAGGCTCAAACTTTACACATAGCGAAGCAAAAGAACGGGACTTTAACGAAACCCAACAATCATCAAACAAAGTGTATAGTTTTTTTGCGATTTCAAACCCTAAAACACTACGTTGCCTAGAACCATCAAACCCTAAAGCTTACTTTGATTTTTTTTTAGGGCTGTGAGTTTTGATTACTGCGAGAAGGAAATGTTTGCTTTTCTGAGGCACAAACTGAGGTTTTCCTTTTTTGGATTTTGGGTATGTGTGTGTGTGTTTGATAGAGGAAGGAGATGGGAATTGGAGGGAAAGCCAGACAGGTAATTTACTATTGATTCCATTGTGCTAAACTTCTTGGGCTTTTTTGAAGTTTTTGTTTTATTGAGGGTCTAGTTTGTATTTAAACTTATTACATGTTTGTACTTTGCTTAGGGACTAAAGTAGGCAATGTAAAAAGCAATGTTGACCGGGTCAAATCTTGTTCTATAAACTTTAATATTTTTTAACATAGAAATTTAAAAATAATGTTAGTAAGTATGATTCATAAATAATATATTAATAAAAATCACATATAAAATATTATAATATAAAGTATTTGTTGTTCATAGAGCTAGTTTATGAATTTTTGATAGTTTTAATATTTTTTAATAAATTTAGTAACTTTGAGATGCAATCCAATTACATGATCGATTAATGTTTGAACCAGTTATTCGATTTAATCTGGTTATATGACTGGTTCATTGTCGAACCTGGTCTAATTATCGGAGTTTTCAAAACACTGATAAAAGGAGAAACTGGAAAAAAAAACTTTAAATTTTTAGAACCAAACATAAAAACTGAATTTGATTTAAGCATTCACGTCGCTTTATTTCTTCGGCGCTAATGCCTCGCCATACGATCGGCAGTAATGTATGCTTACTCGTTGAATATCAAATCTCTGATGATACTGTTTGATTCTCGATCCTTGGTGAAATTCGTGAAGGAGAGAGGCTCGGTTCCCGCTTTGTTTGATATTTTATTCGATATTTATCACTTTAACTTGTTGTTTGAAGTTATTTCTTTCTTTTATGTACTACGTTTGAATAATGTGATGGCTGATTTGGTGGCAAAATCAGTCATTTCATTGCTAAACTTAGCCTCCTCTAATGGAGTGTAAACCCTTTAAGTTTCAATGACATTGTGTTTGATAAAAAAAAAAAAAAAACTGAACTTGATTTAACAACTGAAATTTTGTTATCATCTAAAGGAACTTTCAAATTATGACGCTTGGCTGGTATGCTTCAAAGCAATAAAGTGGAGTTCTTATCAATGAACGCTCTTCACCTGAGTCCTCAACATAAGCATCCATTCACTCTTGATCTAGCTATGCGGTAATGAAAAAAAAATCAGATTTGTTACATGTAGTACTATTTCACAGCACTCTCCAGCTCGTTTGTACTCTGACGACATGGCCTTTCATTTTGAAAACTGATCATTGGGCTAGAATTTATTTCGTTGTGGCCCAATACATCCACTTTCTTCTTCTCGATGATGTATACTACTATATAGGAGGGAAATGTTAATGTTTAAAATCAGACACGAACTAAGCAGATTCAATTAGAGAATCGTAGAAAGCAACCAGGAAAGTTGGAAGAAGACCCGTAAGGTTAAGTCAAGTACAATTTGTGACATGTACGTAACTTGGGAGTTTGTTTTCCCACTATCCGAAATTGAAGTTGGACCTGTTTGGTTGGTATACATTTATTGTGAATAAAACTTAAAACCAGAGAAGAATGATATTATTTGCCAGGTCAACTCTATAGTCAATAGATATTTCAAATACAAACAAGAAGACCAAGAAAAATACTGTAGAGAAAAGTCGTGGGAAGTATCCTTCTTCACACATTTGTACTCACAACATGTCTTATAAATTTTCTCATAACTCAAGACAATGGCAACAGAGAGAGAAAGATGAAAGGTGTAGCAAACTATCATCACCATCCTTACACCTTTATCTTCATCATCTTCGTCTTCATATTGGTTCCATCTTCCAGTGTCTCTGCCAACACTTTTTCGGCTACTGAATCTCTCACAATCTCAAACAACAAAACCATTGTATCTCGCAACGGAACCTTCGAGCTCGGTTTCTTCACTCCCGGGTCTACCTCTCGTTGGTATCTCGGGATATGGTACAAGAAAATCTCTACAAGAACCTACGTATGGGTCGCCAACAGAGACAACCCTCTAACTCATCCCAACGCAACTCTCAAAATATCAGACAACAACCTCGTCATTTACGACCACTCCGACACACCTATCTGGTCAACGAATCTAACCGTTGAAACCTCGAGATCTTCACTAGTGGCAGAGCTTCTCGCCAACGGTAACTTCGTGCTAAGACACGATCCACCAGAAGAAGAGTTCTTGTGGCAGAGTTTCGATTTTCCGACAGATACTTTACTTCCGGAGATGAAACTAGGCTGGGACAAAAAAACCGGATTCAACAGAGTCTTGAGATCATGGAGGAGTCAAGAAGATCCATCAAGTGGAGATTTCTCGACTAAACTCGAAACAAGAGGGTTCCCTGAGTATTACGTATTCAACAAAGAGTCAATCGTGTACCGGAGCGGTCCATGGATAGGAAACCGGTTTAGCTGCGTACCGGAGATGAAACCAGTTGAATACATGGTTTACACTTTCATAGCAAGTAACGAAGAAGTGACTTACGCATACAAAATGATTAAACCGGACGTTTACTCCACGTTAAGCCTAAGCTCTACCGGAACCATACAAAGACGGACTTGGATCGAGGCATCACAGAGTTGGAAACAGTTATGGTACCAACCAAAGGACATATGCGATAACTACAAACAGTGTGGGAGTTACGGTTACTGCGATTCCAACACGTTACCGAACTGTAACGGCATCAGAGGGTTTGAGGAAGGTAATGAGAAAGAAGAAGAGTGGGCTTTGAGAGATGATTCAGCTGGTTACGTGAGGAAGACGAGGCTGAGTTGTGATGGTACTGATGGGTTTGTGATGTTGAAGCGGATGAAATTGCCGGATACTTCGGCTACGGTTGTGGACAGAGGGATTGGGTTGAAGGAGTGTGAAGCTAAGTGTTTAAGAGATTGTAACTGTACAGCGTATGCTAACACTGATGTTCGTGACGGCGGGTCGGGTTGTGTGATTTGGAATGGAGGTCTTTGGGATATAAGGAGTTATGCAAATGGTGGTCAGGATCTCTATGTTAAACTTGCATCTGCTGATATTGGTTAGTTCTTTTTCCTATGCATGTAACTGTTTTTTTAAGTTTTGTTTAAAATTGTTATATGTAGAGATCCGTAGATCTTCCTATTAGTTGAGGATCAAAGCATTTATATTTATTCACAAACATTATATATAACTCAATATTAGTATGGTTTAAGGTAGATATATACAACACCAAAACAAAATGTATTATACTTAAATTAGTCTAGTAATTTTATTTTTATTTTTTTGGGCTAAAAAGGTTTAGTATAATGTTTTATCAGAAGTTAAACGAAGATGAAAATATATGCCTGGTTTATATTGCAGATGTCAAGATAACGAGTCATGGAGGAATCATAGGTTCTAGTATTGGAGTGACCATTTTGCTTCTAATAAGCATCATCATCTTTGGGTATTGGAAAAGAAAACAGAAGAGTGTTATAACAATTCAAACACCTACTGGTAAGTCAAGTTTTAATTTTTCCTTAATTTTGTCTGTAAATTAGGATAGTCAAATGTCTTTTTGTTTTTGAATGAAACAGTTGATCAAGTGAGAAGCGAAGATTTGCTAATAAACCAAGTGGTACTAACAAGCAAGAGATACATATCTAGCGAAAACAAAACAGAGGATCTAGAGCTTCCACTGATGGAGTTTGAAACTCTTTCCATGGCAACAAACAGATTTTCTGACGCTAACATGCTTGGACAAGGTGGTTTCGGTATTGTTTACAAGGTACTAAAAATGATTCAAAATGTACTCAAAATATATCACTGTGCAAGGTTTTCATTTATTATTCAAACATGTCTCGTAATAGGGAACTTTACCTGATGGGAAAGAAATAGCAGTAAAGAGACTATCTAAAATGTCATTACAAGGGACCGATGAGTTCAAGAATGAGGTCAGACTAATTGCAAGGCTTCAGCACGTAAACCTTGTCCGGCTTCTTGGTTGTTGTGTCGATAAAGGAGAGAAGATGTTGATATATGAGTACTTGGAGAATCTAAGCCTTGATTCTCATCTCTTTGGTTAGTGACTCAAAACAACTTATGTTCTAACAATTTAACGTATCCGGGTATAAGTTAACATGTTTTCTTTTTGTAGACAAAATCCGACGGTCTACCTTAAATTGGCAAAAGAGATTTGAGATTACCAATGGTATTGCTAGAGGACTTCTTTATCTTCACCAAGATTCACGGTTTAGGATTATCCATAGAGACTTGAAAGCTAGTAACGTCTTGCTTGATAAAAATATGACTCCGAAGATCTCGGATTTCGGGATGGCAAGAATCTTTGGACAGGATGAGACAGAAGCTAACACAAGGAAGGTGGTTGGAACTTAGTAAGCAAATATTCTCCAAAACAACAAAGAGATTTTTCTTACATCCAAAAAAGTGGGGAAACATCATAACATAATGAATTTATTTTACCTCATGCAGCGGCTACATGGCTCCAGAGTATGCAATGGACGGGATATTCTCGATGAAGTCGGATGTTTTCAGCTTCGGGGTCTTGCTTCTTGAGATTATAAGTGGCAAGAGGAGTAAAGGCTTCTACAACTCTAACCGTGACCTTAACCTCCTTGGTTTTGTAAGCTAACAAACAACTTAAATTCGATATTGTTTCAGTCATTTTAAGATTTTCTTTTTGCGGACAGGTGTGGAGGTATTGGAAGGAAGGAAAAGGGATAGAGATAGTAGACCAAATCATCATGGATTCTTCATCATCAGCACTACAAACACATGAAATCATGAGATGTATACAGATTGGTCTCTTGTGTGTTCAAGAACGTGCTGAAGACAGACCAGTAATGTCGTCGGTTATGGTGATGCTTGGAAGTGAAACTACAGCTATTCCTCAGCCTAAACGTCCTGGTTATTGTGTTGGGAGAAATCTCAATGAGGCTGAATCTTCGTCAAGTACACAGCGTGATGATGAATTGACGGTGAACCAAATCACTCTTTCAGTCATTCACGCCCGGTAATGTGAACGTTACCTAGACAATCTGTTTATATGCATATCAGTTGCTATTTTTCTATGTAATACCCAATGTTTCAGATTAATTGTTGTTTTAGAGTTTAGTATTATTTTGTTTTAAGTATCGTATGCTTTCAATGCATTTATCTGCTAGTTTTTTTCAATTTTATCCCTATTTTTTTAGTTGATTGAATTAACAAAATCAAATAAAAATGTATTAATCCCCTATATATTAATTGTGAATCATTTAAAAAGTTGTAACCTTAAGTTTGTAAGAATTAAAAATAACCCCAATCCTATGTGGCATATCTCTTTGGCTTCTATTTCAAATTCTAAGGATTCTAGAGCATGTGATATAATGTATAGTCTAAAAATTATATTCTCTAGCAATATAATATTTCATAGGCTATAGTTGGTTGCATGTATCAAATATTTAATGTTTCGCATGCTTTCCTTAAATAAAACCTACGGAATTACCTAATGTGATTAAAATATATATATGACAATTAATGATTTTAAACAATAAAGATTTGATAACAATCTATATATTTTTTCTCATTTTGTTTATTTCTTTATTATTAAAATAAATTACACAATTACATTAATCATATAATAAAAATCTAGATTTTTTTTTGTGTATGTTGTATTTCGAATTTTTCAAAGTGAGTATAAATTACTAAAACTGTTAAAAGTCCCACATAAACTATTTGGATCAAGATTTTCTTTTTTTCTATATTAAAATATAATGATTATAAGACCATATGAAGAAATAATTTTAGTTCATATATATTTCATATCGTTTTAATTAAACTATACATCGTATAAAAATACATACTTATATTTTGATATTCACCTTGAACATATATTGAAAAGTTAATATTTTAATTTTGAAATATGTCATTGTTTTTTTAAAATGATTATAAATTATTGAAACTACTAAACATCTCACATTTAAATGAGTAGAAACCTCATTTAATAAATATTCATATTAAAAGTGTGATATATTACTATTTTATATCATTTAATTTAATTATATATCATATACAATATATACGATTGATTATTTTGATTTATTTACCCTAATTGCGAATAAACAAGAGTGATAGTTAAATTTATATGCATACGCCAATTTATTACATAATAATATTTGATTTCTTAGTTATTTAATATATATTTTATTATTTTATAATATGCATAAAAAATAAAATAAATAATAAATATAAAATACTTATTATGCATAAAGTGCAGATCTTAACATAAATATGTATCTCTTTAATTATTTTCAGTCTTAAGTATTTTATAAATTCCAAGTCAAAACAAACAAACGCAATGAGAATAAATTTCAAAATAAATATTTATATCGAGTAATAACCAAAATATAAAAAACCCAACAAGAAAAAAAATTGAAGATAAATAGGATTGACACGTGAACGTAGACTTCTCATAACCATAATTAATTTTTAAATGGTTAAATCATGATATAAAACTGAGTTAATTTTTAATTTCTTAATTTTTAAATTTTTTAAATCATTATGATTATGTTAAATCATGACCATAATTAATTTTAATTGTTTATTTGTATCTGAAAAACTTAAAATATTGTTTTTAAGAATAATTTAAAATTTAACTTAGTTTTTTATAATTTTTTTTTTAAAAAAATTGTAAAAAACAAATTCAAATATTTTACCAACTGTTTCTTAAAAAACATTAGGGAACTTGCTAATATTCTACCAATCAAGTCCAGTGACACTCCATATATTTTCCATCACTCGAACACTGAAAAGTGAAAAGATATATGAAATCAGGTTCATTAAATTCTAAGATTTGATCTACAGTTATAATTACAATTGTTTTTGATACTACATATAGATAATTATATAAAAATTCCAAAATTCTAAAATTTCAAATACATATAAAAACAATCATATGTAAATTTTAAATTTGTCAATACTAAAATTTTATATTTTAATTACATATATTCACCCTGCGCAAGGCGCGGGTCTTATCCTAGTTAGAGGTAAAATAAGAAATCTAATGATTTTCTTAATCTTTCTTTTAAAAACCTAAAACGACAATCTATATTATAATGATTCAGTTTAAAGGCTCCTTAACGTGTCCACATAGGCAGATTGTGGGTCCCATATTTTTATATTAAAATAGATAGTTTTTTTAAAATGGCTACAAACAAAGAATATCAGTTTAGCCAAGTGGTCTAAGACCCCATGTTTGGTCGCCAAGGACATGGGTTCAGTTCCCACTGCTTTCATACATAAACCAATTAATGTCATCATCATAAAAACGTTTTTTAAACAGACATAGTCTTGGTAAGATGGTCACAAACAATGAAATATACTTTAGCCAAGTGGTATAAGGTGTCTAATTAAGTATACAAGATTGTGGGTTCAAACCACACAGCTATCATGTATTTTTGATTTTTTTATTTAGGTTATTATCATATGGGCTTTTTGTTTATAAGGTTTTTATGTTTTTTTGGGCTTATTGTTTTAAAGATCAAAATAGTTGTACAAACCCTAAACCTTAATAAGTTCAAACCCAAAATAGTTAAAAATGAATCTAAAACGAATAATAAAACAAAAAAACAAAAAAAAAACAAGTCTCACGTGGTTGCCTACGCGGATGGCTTAAAGAACCTTAAAACCATCCTATTATAATATAGCTCAACCCAAAAATAATAAAAGATAAATCCAAAAACAAAACAGACAAAAAAAAACACAAAAAAGTGAATTCCACGCAGGTGCATACGTGGATGGCTTAATGAAGGTTGAATAATATAGATTAAGAGCTCAAAAAGTTAAATCATTGCACATATTTCCTAATATATATTTTCAAAAAATTTGTATGTGAGATAAAATAAAATAAAACAAGAAAAATTAATTATTTTCGTTATTATTAAATGAATATATAATTTCTCTTACATTTTAATAACTACTATAATTTCCTTGAAAACATTTCTCACCACCGATTCCAGACTCCGGCGAATGGATTCCCACAGTTGATGACGCCGTAGATAAAAATGCCACATCATTTATGAACAAAACTCCAACTTACAAAAAACCATATATAAAAGCCTATCTAATGAAACTTAAACAACAAATATTAACTTAATTAAGGTTATTTTCAAATTGATAAATCGTTTAATACAAATATAAATACTATAAATATAGAATTATATCAAGTTTTGATCTACGATATAAAAACTATTTACAGCAAAAAAACACACACATACTTTTACACACTAAAAACTATATTATAGCCTAACTATTCCTATAAACCTTACTTCGCATATAAATAACATTTAACACATTCCTAATATTTTTCAAAAAAAATTGTATGTGAAATAAAATAAAATAAACAACAAAATTTAAGTAAGTTATTTATTAAATGAATATGTAATTTCTCTTACATTTTAATAANAACTATATTATAGCCTAACTATTCCTATAAACCTTACTTCGCATATAAATAACATTTAACACATTCCTAATATTTTTCAAAAAAAATTGTATGTGAAATAAAATAAAATAAACAACAAAATTTAAGTAAGTTATTTATTAAATGAATATGTAATTTCTCTTACATTTTAATAACTACTATAATTTCATTGAAAACATTTTTCACCAATCGACTCCAGACTTCGGCGAATGAATTCCCACAGTCGATGACTCCGTAGATAAAAATGCCACATCATTTATGAACAAAACATAAACTTACAAAAAACCATATATAAAAACCTATCTAATGAAACTTAAACAACGAATATTAACTTAATTAATGTTATTTTCATATTGATAAATCGTTTAATACAAATATAAATACTATAAATATAGAATTATATCAAGTTTTGACATACGATATAAAAACATGAAATTTTCCATTTCATTATTAATTGGTGTCATTAGAAGAATCCACTAAACCAACAATCGAAAAAAATACACGTAAACATAATGATCCCGGCTCCGCGCTTGCGCGGGGAGTATGCAACTAGTTAATTTAATACGAAGGAAATAATTTAATAGCGCAAATTTTACTACTTGATCTTGGATAACTTGCTCTATCTAATCTAGTTTTGGAGCACAGTTACTACTGTCTTGAAGAATTTGGATTAGAGAGAGAGTTCCCAGAGACTTTAAGACAACACTTAAGGTTAAAATCATGTACCATTTTTTCTAGTGACACAATGGATACACTTTTTAGTCAAAACGTGTAACTAGGGAGGGAGTTTGTGTTACTGTGTTATTCCAAAATGAAGTTGGATTTTTTTGGTTGGTAGACATTTATTGTGAATATATAATTTGAAAACGAGGGAAGAGTGATAATATTTGCTAAGTAAACTCTATAGTCAATAGAATTTTCAAATACAAACAAGAAGACCAAGACAGTAATGTAGAGAGAGTAGTCGTCGTGTAAATAACGTTCACACAGTGACCACACGACATGTTTGACATCTTCAAAGATATGTGTGTATAAATTTTCTCATAACTCAAGACAATGGCGTAGAGCGTAACAGAGAGCCAGAGAGAGAGATATGAAAAGTGTACGAAACTACCATTATCCTTACACCTTCGTCATCTTCCTCTTCATATTGTTTCCAGCCTTCGGTGTCTCTGCCAACAACACTATGTCGGCTACAGAATCTCTCACAATCTCAAGCAACAAAACCATCATGTCTCGTAACGAAACCTTCGAGCTCGGTTTCTTCACTCCAGGGTCAACCTCTCGTTGGTATCTCGGGATATGGTACAAGAAAATCTCAACCAAAACCTACGTATGGGTTGCAAACAGAGACAACCCTCTAACTCATCCCAACGGATCTCTCAAAATATCAGACAATAATAACAACCTCGTTATTTTGGATCATCACTCCGACACACCTGTTTGGTCAACGAACCTAACGGAAGGAGGAAATGTGAGGTTTCTTGAGCTTCTTGATAACGGTAATCTCGTGCTCAGAGACTACTCCAACAACAACGATCCAGAAGGGTTCTTGTGGCAGAGTTTCGATTTTCCGACAGATACTTTACTTCCGGAGATGAAGTTGGGTTGGGATCTTAAAAGCGGAAAGAACAGATACTTGAGATCCAAGAAAACCCCAGATGATCCATCAAGCGGGGATTTCTCGACTAAATTCGAAACCAGAGGGCTCCCAGAGGTTTACCTATACAACAAAGAGTCTATAGTGTTCCGGAGCGGTCCATGGGATGGAATCCGGTTTAGCGGCATACCGGAGGTAAGATCAGTCGATTACCTAGTTTCAAATTTTTCAACGACCGATGAAGAAATAACTTACTCATACCAAATCACAAAACCCAACGTTTACTCCATGCTAACCCTATCCCCCACTGGACTATTACAACGATCAACTTGGGTTGAGAGCTTACAGAGTTGGAAACCATTATGGTACTCACCAAAGGACATATGCAATAACTACAAACAGTGTGGGAGTTACGGTTATTGCAACTCCAACGCCTCACCAGTTTGTAACTGTATCAAAGGCTTTGGGCCAAGAAATGAGCAAGTGACGGATCTGAGAGATGATTTCGATGGTTGCGTGAGGAAGACGAAGCTGAGCTGTGACGGTGGTACTGATGGGTTCGTGCGGTTAAAGAAAATGAAGTTGCCGGATACTAGAGAGACAGTGGTGGACAGGGGGATTGGGATAAAAGAGTGTGAAGCACGTTGTAAGAAAAATTGTAATTGTACGGCGTTTGCTAATACGGATATTCGTAACGGTGGATCTGGATGTGTCATTTGGATTGGAGATCTTTTGGATATCAGAAACTTTGCTAAGGGAGGTCAGGATCTCTACATTAGACTAGCAGCTGCTGATCTCGGTTAGTTCTTTCTCCTTTGCATTTTAAGGGGGTTTTCACATTTTTGTTGACTAAGAAGAGGTTATGAGATCCTTAAATCTTCTTTAAGCTGAAGACCAAAGAATGTAATTATTGTCTCTTGCAGCTAAGTTTACATTGAATAGTTTGTGTTATTGATCTCAAGAGTTTCAGTCGAGAGCACCGAGTTGTGGAGTTTAAGCTACATCTAACAAGAAGTATATTTAGAACCAAGTGGGAGTATCTTAGTAGTAAGGGGTAGATTTGGGTCAAGGCCTAAACTCTTCTTAGGTTCGATTTCTGTTGAGTTATTCTTAGGTTCACCAACCAATAGGATGGTGTTATTTCATATTTGATATTTTTTTTTAAAAAAAAAATCTTGTTAAGTTATATTATGTTAGTTTTTTTCGTGTTTTTTTAATATTATTTTATTTTCTATTTTTCTTTTAAAAACATAATATAACTTAACAAGATTTTTTTTTTTAAAATATATCAAATATGAAATAACACCATCCTATTGGTTGGTGAACCTAGAGATTCACTCTAGGGGTGAACCTAGAGATTCAACTCTAGGGGTGAACCCAAGAATAAGTCATTTATGTTGGGAACATAGTTATGCTAATGACGAGTTATTCTTGGGTTAAGCTACATCTAACAACAAGTATAAGTGGGAGTATCTTAGTAGTAAGGGTAGATTTGGGTCAAGGCTTAAACTCTTCTTAGGTTCGATTTCTGTTGGGAACATAGTTATGCTAATGACCAGATGAAGATGGGACATGTTTTTAGGCCTCACTAGAACACCTCTGGTCAACAAAACAAAACAAGTATATTTAGGGGTGTTAGTGAAAGTTACATTTATAATGATTGTAAGAATTTAAAAAGTTTTGTCTTATTGGTTGATATGTTCTTAAATTCTTATTAAAATCTAGTGTTATTGGAATAATGATTTTCTAATTCTCTCCAAAATCTTTTGTTATTCAAAATGTTTCCATTTTAACGATTCTATAAATCTATTAAAGTTAGTGTTATTGAGAATTTTATTTTTAACCATTAACTAGATTTTGACCCGCGCTTAAGAAGCGCGGGTTTTTTTTTGTTAACCGTAAAGCCAAATATTTCGGAATAGATATTTTGATTGGTTTTGATGGTGTTTTTAAATTTGATTGAGTTGATGGTAAAAGGGGTTCGAGATACCTTGTATTTAAAAAATGAGAGGGTTGTTGTTCTATTATTTTATTTCAATCTTGTAAAATTAAAAAAATGAATATGGTAAAAAGATCTTAAAATCAAAAGATTGTTATTAACCAATTGAGAAGCGTGGATTCTATTTTTTGATTATGCACAAATGGGTACTTAATTTTTTAAATTAAAAAAAAAATAAACGAAATTAAATTAAACCAAATTTCATAAATAATCGATCATACCATATATCTCTAGAATCTAAAAATAGAAATCAAACTGAGAAACCAAATAGGTATTTAAATATTTTTTATATAAATTATATACNGTTATAATATCATGAATATTTATTGTTAGAGAAATTTTATAATAGATTATGGAAAGTAATAAATGAGTTTATTTAAATTGTAAAGTATTTATATAGTTAGAGAAATATAAGGAAAGACTAAAAATGTTAGTCTAATGGGTCCAAACAACTTTTTTAAGTAGATTTATTTAGACTCCTTCTCTTTTAATAGTATAGATTCATAGAACAAGATTTTAAGAATACTACATGTTTTCGTAAGATTCTCAAATTCATTATAATATTTTATTTTCCTAGATTTTTACAATATACATAATTCTCTACAAAATCTTTCCAAATTCAACAAATCACTCAACTTAAAATCAACAAACACTTTATAAATCTTATTTCCACTAACACCCCCTAAGTTTATTAACTGGTCTAATTGTTTTAGACATAGAAGTCCAAAACATCTATTATGTTTGTGTGTTTAGTATAATTAACTAGGAGACATTTTATGTTATGCTCATTTTAGAATAGTAATTTTATTTTTAAAATGAAAATAACAAAATTTAAATGTGAGAGTAAATTGGAGTGATGACACAATAGCAAAATAAAAAATAAAAATAACGTCTCAATGTTTTATCGAAAGTAGAACAAAGATTTTTGGGGAAGGATTTTCTCTTTTTGATAAATATATAGAAGAAGATATTTTGCCTCGTTTCTACTGCAGATGACAAGATAAACAACACGGGAAAAATCATAGGTTCGAGTATTGGAGTGAGCACTTTGCTTCTATTAAGTATCGTCATCTTCCAGTTTTGGACAAGAAAACAGAAGAGAGCTAGAGCAATACAAACACCTACTGGTAAATAAAGAGCTTTCATTTCCTTTATTTTCTCTGTAAATCATGTCTTTTGTTATCTAAATGAAACAGTTGAACAAGTGAGAAGCGAAGATTCGCTAACGAACGAAGTGATAGTAACAAGCAAGAGTTACATATCAAGAAAAAACAAGACAGAGGATCTAGAACTTCCATTGATGGAGTTTGATGCTGTTGCCATTGCAACTAACAATTTTTCTGACGCCAACAAGCTTGGAAAAGGTGGTTTCGGTATTGTTTACAAGGTAAAAAGGGGTGACTCAAAACGTATTCAAATACTATCCCTGTACTTACAAATATGTCGTAATAGGGAATGTTACCTGATGGGAAAGAAATCGCGGTAAAAAGACTTTCGAAAAAGTCTTTACAAGGAACTAGTGAGTTCAAGAATGAGGTTAGACTAATTGCAAGGCTTCAGCACATAAACCTGGTCAGGCTTCTTGGTTGTTGCGTCGATAAAGGCGAGAAGATGTTGATATATGAGTACTTGGAGAATCTAAGCCTTGATTCTCATCTCTTTGGTTAGTGACTCAAAACAACTTCTTAAGTAACAATTTAATTTATTCGGGGATATGTATAACATTTTTTTCAATTTTGATCGATTTTTTTAGACAAAAACCGACGATCTACCTTAAATTGGCAAAAGAGATTTGAGATTACCAATGGTATTGCTAGAGGACTTCTTTATCTTCACCAAGATTCACGGTTTAGGATTATCCATAGAGACTTGAAAGCAAGTAACGTCTTGCTTGATAAAAACATGACTCCGAAGATCTCGGATTTCGGGATGGCAAGGATCTTTGGTCGGGATGAGACAGAAGCTAACACAAGGAAGGTGGTTGGAACTTAGTAAGCAAATATTCTCCAAAACAACAAAGAGAGTTTATATTAAATTAAAATTTAAAATAAAACCTCATAACACATGAGTTTATTTTTTTGGCTATGCAGCGGTTACATGTCTCCAGAATATGCAATGGATGGGATATTCTCAATGAAGTCGGATGTTTTCAGCTTCGGGGTCTTGCTTCTTGAGATTATAAGTGGCAAGAAGAATAATGGATTCTACAACTCAAATCGTGACCTTAATCTCCTCGGTTTTGTATGCTAAAAACCTCTTGATTTTGATATATTTTCCCACTTACAATCTGATGATAACACTAAAAGGATTCCATCTCTTATGCAAAGGTGTGGAGGAATTGGAAGGAAGGACATTGGCAAGAGATCATAGATCCCATTATCAAAGAATCTTCATCATCAACGTTCCAGACACATGAAATCTTAAGATGCATACAAATTGGTCTCTTGTGTGTTCAAGAACGTGCTGAAGACAGACCAGTAATGTCGTCGGTTATGGTGATGCTTGGAAGCGAAACTACAGCTATTCCTCAGCCTAAACGTCCTGGTTATTGTGTTGGAAGAAATCTCCTTGAGGTTGAATCGTCGTCAAGTACACAGCGCGATGATGAATTGACTGTGAACCAAATCACTCTCTCAGTCATTGACGCCCGGTAGTGTGAACGTTACCTAGACAATCTGTTTATATGCATACCAGTTGCTATTTCTCTCTGTAATACTTTTTTTTTTGAAAAAATTCTCCGTAATACTTAATAGCGCAAGTTACTACTATCACGAAGAGAGAACTATGCAAAAAGTACTAAACGAGGCGTTTTCTAGATACATCACTTAAAACTAGTAATAGAATATATAAACATACGACAAAAAAATATAATCATAAAAACAATGTGAAATTTCAATGTTTTTAAAATTGGACGAAAGTTGAACCGGAAATTATTTTGGTCATGGTTCAATATAATTCGACCATACTGAACATGATTCAAAAATTTATAGATATATTAATTTTAAAATGTAAATTTAAAAATAATTATAGTAAATAGTATATATGATTAAAATATAAATATAATCAACATAAAATATTGGAAATATTTTTTTCTCATCCGGTGCATAGACTTTTGATAATTTTAAGAGTTTTCATCTAGGTCAGGTCAATGATTTAAAAGATTCGACCCGGCTATGTGATTGGTTCATTGATCGAACCCTGTCTAGCTATTAAAAACATGGTTAACAATTATTTATTATGAACATTATATATGTTTGTGTTACAAAAAAAAAACATCATATATGTTTAGAAAAACAAGGGAAAAAATAACATTATATATGTTTATTCAGAAATCATTTATACTAATCGAAACATAAATATCAGATTTCTAATCATCGCATACATAAGGATTTTCCATAGGGATTTTCCATGGGAGATTTTACTTACTGATTAATGCCAACACTATTGGCATCATTAACAACCAAACCTTTAGCGATGTTTCTTAGCTTATGTTTAAGAATCTTTCCGTTGCCGTTCTTAGGTATTTCTCCCATGAACACAACCCTCTTCGGACACATAAAATGAGGTAGATTCTCACGGCAATACGTAATCAAATCACCTTCTCTTGTCATGACATGATCATCACAGTCTCCTTGACCAGTCTTAAACTTTTCTAAAACAACGAACGCACAAGGGGTTTCACCCCACATGGGGTGAGGCATGGCCACAACAGCGACCTCGAGCACTTTCTTATACTTGTAAAGAACACTCTCAACTTCAATACTGTTGATGTTCTCACCTCCCGATATGATAATATCTTTGGACCGATCTTTGATCTCTATGTACCCATCAGGATGGATCACACCTATGTCTCCCGTGTTGAGCCATCCGTGTTTAAACGCTTCAAATGTAGCTTTCGGATTCTTTAGATACCCTTTCATTAAGCTGCTTCCTTTCATGACAATTTCTCCCATTGTCTTCCCATCGCGTGGGACACTCTCCTGAGTTTTCGTGTTCTTCACGTCAACGTCAGTTAGGGCTAAGATCCCTACCCCTTGCCTTGCTTTCATCTCCATTTGTTGCTTCTCTGGAAGTCTGTTTTATTTGAGTAATATAAATGTTAAATAAATATTAATAACATTTAACATGATTGTAAGTTCAAAATAACGTCATCATTACAATTTTTTTAAAAAATATTTCAATCCTTTTGAAAAGTGGAATTTTACATTTTTAGTAAATGTGAACATGATAAAGAAAAATTTGATGCTGTAACTATAGAGTTATAAACTTGTACCAAAGATTTATTACCTATTCAACTCATCATGCCACTCACAAAAGAGAACAGCACCAGTGGCCTCCGTGAGGCCATAGACATGCATCACTTGAAACCCAAGCCGCTGAACTTTCTCTACAAGGGCAGCAGGAGGCGATGAACCTCCGGTCAAAACCTGAACTGGCCTGGACCTTTGTGACATGTCAAGTGGTTTACCTTGAAGCATAATGTTGAAAACTGTAGGAACACAACACATATGCGTCACGCCATGCAATTCAATGTTCTTATAAATCTCGGGAGCAGACACATGCCTTATACAGACGTTGGTGCCCCCACGTGCCGCCACTGCCCATGTGAGATTCCATCCATTGCAATGAAACATTGGCAGAGTCCAAAGATACACCGGGAATTTCCCCATTTCCCAGCTCATAATCACGCTAAGAGAATTCAAATACACTCCACGGTGGCTAACCACCACACCTTTTGGTTCGCTCGTGGTACCGGATGTGTAGTTTAACGAGATCGGATCGTGCTCGTTTTGAATACGGAACATACGTGTAACCAAGGAGGACGAAGGTTCTCCTCCCGTATGGATGAGCCTCTCGTAGTCTAACTCATTGGACGAAAGCCTTTTAGGGTGATCGGGCTCGTCAATGAATATGACCAGCAGGTTCAGCTGTTCTTCATCTGGTAGTAGATAGAGCGTTGCTCTAGCTAAGGTCTCGAGTTTGCGGTCTACGAATAGTATCTTGGGCTGTGCGTGGCGGATGATTGCGGCGATGGATTTTGCGTCGAGGCGGGTGTTGATAGGGTTAAGGACAGCTCTAGCCATGGGAACAGCGAAATGCATCTCATATATGGCCGGTATGTTTTGGGCCAGAACAGATACCTAAACACATATATTTATGTCATGTCTCATATGTTAAAATGAATATAAGTTTGTCTTATATTCAGATTTGTTTTGAAAAAAAAAAAATTAAACAATACACTTAAAACAAAACAAAAAAATTGTTAGAGAGAGACATACGACATCATTCTTGGCGATATTAAGGGATAGGAGAGAAGCAGCGAGACGACAGCAACGGACATAGGTCTGAAGCCAAGTGAAACGAGTTTCTCCATAGATTATGGAAGTTCTACGTGGATAACATTCCGAGGCTCGTTTCAAGAACGTTATCGGCGTTAGAGGAGCGTTGTTTGCTTCACATAACGCCAGATTGTCCATCTTGTTCTTAGTGTGTCTTTATGTATTTGTATCTCTTACTTTCAAAAAAAAAAAAATGTATTTGTATCTCTTACTTTCAAAAAAAAAAAAATGTATTTGTATCTCTCTGAGGGAAAAGGAAAACATGTACATTTTATATATAAGCGTGACCCCCCGCCCCCCCAACCCCCCTCTCTCCCCTCAACAGCAAATGGTTTTAACTTTTAAGATCACCTGCCTCTTATTTTCTGCTTGATTCAAATGTTTAAAACATATATGATAAATAAAGTGTTGAAAGTATTATTTTGTAATTTTGCTATATTCATAGAGTTTTAGTTTTTCCGATATTAAACAATGAACCTAACATAATTAACATTAAATGTCTGATCTGGTCCGCAAACCTAGGACACCAAATTTCAAATAATTAAAAAATAATTTATAATATAAAACTAATAGATTTTGCATTAAAAGTTAAAAAAACATTTATTTTGTAACAAAAATTTTCACTAGAATGTTACATATGAAACGGAGAAAATATTAGTTATGGAAATTCAACGTGAATAAAATAGTAGTATATGTTTTTCTAAAGAACCTAGCACGCACTACAATGAAACATACATCCACTGAATTAACTACGGCATATCTATCATTTAAGACGAATACCTATCCTTTTAGAGCGGCAGTCACAAATATCATACTCTCCCATTCTTAAAGATATACTAGACTTTAATTCGCACTTAAAATCGTGGAAATTTTTTATGATTGAAAAATTATATAATTGGGTTTTTGTCTTAATTTAAAGAATGTTTTGATATAAAATCAGTTCACCAAAATTTATGATGATAATTGTTTTTCATTAGTTTTTAGTTTCAATTTTTATTTTTAAATTTTGTTTTAGATTTTGATTTTTTGGGTTTTAGTTTTTAAGTTTCTATTTTTGATTTCAGTTTTTGGTTTGAGTTTTTAATTTTTAGATCCGCTGAGTTAGTTTGAACTGATATTACCAACAAACAAATCTCAGATAATCGAATATCTAATTTAAAACTGAAAAGATGACAAAAACTTTTTTTTTTAAATTGCAATATTTTATTTTGTAAATAAAAAAAAATAAAAAATATAACCTGCGTTTTCAACTTTTGGTTTTGGATTTTAGTTTTTAGATTTAGTTTTGGGTTTTGCTTTATATATTTTTTTAAATCAGTAAATTATTTAAGAAAAATAAAACAATATATTATTTAAAAGTTACCATTAAAATTTATCAAAAAAGGGATTGTTATTTAAAATAAAAAATACATTATCATGTTTTTAAGTACATGATTTAAATAAATGATTAATAATAGACAATTTTGTTTTGTTAAAAATCTTAAATACTTTTTGGGCCTGAAAAAAGAATTTATTTTTGATCCATTAAGGTGGAAATTTTATTAAATGTTTTTTGGAGTTTTTCCTTAATATTAAGCCCAAAAACCAAATCATATAATTTATTCTAAAAACAAAAGTAAGCCCAAGACTATATCCCATAAATAACCACCGATTTAATTTAAGTAATACGGTTCAATTAATTATATGACTTGTATTATTTGTAACACTCTAGTAAGAGTCCAAGTTTAAATGACAACTTGTATTAGTAGATAAAAAGAATAACTCTATTTTAATAGAGTAGATATTCTAGAAAAAATTTGTTTCTAAAAGATTCATTTTTTACATTTTCAACGTATGCTTTATTAAATAATTGTAAATGTCAAAAAACTTAATTGCACTAATTGATTTTTAATTGGTTTAAAATTATGGAAATAAGATAAATACAAAAAATAACAATGATTAGACAAAGTTATCTGTATCTGTTAATAAACTTACACAATGTTTACAACTCGTTCTAAATCTGGAACGTGAAAACCAGATGATCCACAATAGCGAAATAGTGTTCACACCATAAACAAGGGCTCGTTTTGAAAGTTGTTTGGAATCAATACGCGAACCAAATTTGTCTCGAACATAAACCAATAAACGTTAGCAATTACTTTGCCTTGTTGTCAAAATTAGATGCAAACCATGTTAATACTTATAAGTAACATAAACCAAACTTAAATGATGACCCTTATAGATGTATGTTGTTTCCGTAAAATACAACATATTTCACGTGTGATTACACAAGGAATTAAAACTGGCTATGAATAACGTAGTTTATCAATATTGTTATATTAGAAATCTTAGAAATGTTTGAAATCACTAACGATGCAATCCAATAATGTCCCCTGCCGTGAACCGTGAAGGTATAAAATATCATACGCAAGCTGGAATGGTAGGAAGTAACGGCAATGAGGCGTCTCTATCACACATATCCGGACTAATGTTTATGACTCCTTCTCCCTGCAACGTTAACTATGAGGGTGAGAAATTATGAAACTTAAAAGGCAAGAACAATGGTTTGATCCTACTTAAAACCAATTTTAGATTATTTATATCAAAAACTGAAATGTAAAAGTCTCCAACCATTCAAGACCTTCGTTACCTTGGCAATGTTTCTTAAATAGGAGGTTGTGTAGTTTCCAGTTGGAAACAAGGCTTCAATCATGTCAGCAAGTACAAGGTTTGGTTGTGTAATTGCTCCGTCATACCAGTCTTCTCATTATCAAAAAAAAAAAACACAAAGCAAGGTTTCAGCTAAAATCAATGAAAACTAAACAATGTCTAAGACTTTCTTACCAAGAGTTGTTCCATTTCTAACTCTTTTGTCATATCTCCAGATGCTCTGATTAAACGCAAAACATGAGTTATCCTCCAGGTTTATGTTATCCAAGAATGTTTTCTGTGTGTAATTCTGAGGGTCGGAAGATAGCGTTTCATCGATCACCGCATCCACAGTCTGTTAAATATATTTTTTAGTCAAAAAAAAAAGAGTTTCTATGGTCATGAGGATAATAATAGCAGACACGCTTACGCATAAAATGGCATGGAGTGCTTCCAAATCATCAGGATCAGTGACATTGTAAGTGATCTTGTTTATAGATTTGTCGATATTCTCACCACCCGCATCTTCCACATACTGTTTTGATTGTGTGCATAATATTCAGTTGAAAGATATTTCCTGATTTTCAGAAGAAGAATTGAAACTTTCAAAATCTGAACTGCATACCTTTAGCTTATGTGGCTCCTTTGTAAAACACCAAACTCCTCCCTTCAAGATGAAATGTAATTGATGTTAGTAGACAACCATAAATGCACATTCCTCTTTGAATTATAAAGAAACAAGACCCCTGATTTCATTTTCTTAGAAAGGGTTTTGAATATGTACATCTGTATACATTTTAAAAATTGCTTTTAAAAAGATTTCATTACATTTTTATCGTACTCCATCCAGGCTACAATGGGTTTGAAGGATGTGGTCCTTTTAGCTGCCATTTGCGACAAACAAGTATAGCTTGCTTTGACCTGAAAGGCTCCATAACAAACTTTATAGACATCAAGGGTTAGTGGTAGTAAAGAAAAGTGCGGATTAACACTAACCGCATCATATACTTGATTTGCTTTAGTTTCAAGATTGGCAAAAGCACCAAGAAATTTGATCCACTCCGCTCGCTAATTCAAGAATACAAAATTTCTAATCAACATGTGAAAATTTTCACGTTTGGTTAGATCAAGATATATACAAAGATAATAATAATAATAGGCACCTGAAGAGGTGTGCCTTCGCTAAGTGGAAAAAAGTTTGCAAAATTGCATGTCTGAAGTTGATCAGTATCACTGATGAAATGCGCTGCAAATTGAGACACTTCTTGTGCACCTTTTTCAAGCTTAACTACTTCCCCTGCCTCAAGCAGTTTCAGAACACACGGTGAAGCCACCGCGTCCGATGTTATTCCCTTCAAGCTCCCTAGTAATCCAAGTAGCTGCGGATATATAACCATAACATTTGTTTTTCTTAACATCCTAAAGCGTGATCCTAAAGGATTGTTTGCATCTTTGATTTAACACAAACCAAATCTTTAAATTAGCTAAAAGTAAGTGCTTGCCTCGAAGAAAGAAACCGGAATGCCTCCTGAATAAGTAACAAAAAAAAAACAGAGAGATCTTAAAAGGCAGAGACATTATAAAACAAAGGAAAGAAAGCAGGGGAAGACAACAGACATACCTTGAGATGATTGAGTGTCTACTGAGTAGTTAAGAAGTGGAATCACATAGGACTTTATCCTGGAAGTACAATACTTTGTCCGAACCGCCATTCTAGAAGTGTTCTACAGAGATGACCTTTTCATTTTCAGTCACATTGATGTATATAATATGATGAGAAAATAATGCAAGAACCTGAATAAGGAGATAACTCTTGCCATCAATAGCATTTTTGATGACTTTGAAGGTTTGTCCATAATATATATGGAAATTCTCAGCATCTTCTACCTTTGAAATGCTTCCCACTTTTACATTGTTGGAAGATCCGTTTGATTGTTGGGCTACCATGCACAACAATACTAACAATAGTACCAGAGGCCAAGAACACAAAGGAGATGAAGATATCATCACTGTTAATTAAGCCAGGTGATGAAAAAGAAGACAAAATCAACTAAACCCTTTTGGAATTTAGATTGGTTCTCCTTTATGTTTGTGGTCGGAGTGAAAAAGAGAAATATTGTTTTATTTTTACTTTTTTTTTCTTGGTAATAATCACTTTGTATATGCTACAAATTCTGTTGGAATGTACTTTTTGTTTGTAGTATGGTTTTAAAACAATTCTAGAATTCAGATGGAATATTTGCGTTACTCCACTTCCTTTCTCGGGAGTAAATTTATATGCAACCACTATAATATTATAAACACAAGTACCATGCTACATTCTTCATTTTATACCCTTTTTCTTTATCATAATTTAATGCCTAGTTGTGGCCAATTTTATGACCTCTACTATAGAAGTCCCAATGAAATTAAACTGGGGTGTCAAGGTTTCCAGGGATCATCTAGAATATGTTACAGATCTCAGGGTGAGATTTGATTTGAAATGAGACTGAAGTCACTTTTCGAGACAA